TTAGGAAGCAGCTGCTGTCACACATTTCCTGTGGAGACGTGACTTTCAAAAACAGTACTCACACAAGGTTTAGGGCCATTCCCACAGAAACTTTTGAAAAGTACTCATCCAGCAGTGATTTATGAGCTCCTGATTGAGTGGCTGAGCATGACTTGGTTTTCATGAGTCTGAAATTTGCACCACATTTGGGTGGCAGACAGCTCCAGAAGGTTCCTGCTGCTTAGCCACCCACCTGCTGTTTCCATCTTGCCTGGATGTTTGGTTACTGTCAGGATTTTTGTTCATTGCTTCAAAGCCTTCCTTCCCATCTTTCCTTAGAAGTGACACAGTCCCATCTAGTGTAACTCCCGGCTTTCACATTCTGAATATGATAGAAATAGTTTGGAACAAAACTGAGTCATGCTTATATTGAGGCCTAGAGATAATCTTTTAGCTTTCTAACCTAAAGAGGTCACAAGTCTCACCTGCATTGTCCAGGCCTCACTTTTCCAGAAGCAGACAATGATTAGATATAGGTTAGTTGCACATAAATAATGTGGCTAACACTGCCCACTCAGTCCAGAGTTTCCCTCTGAACCTCCCTTCTCAGAACTTCCTCTTTAGCTTAAGGAAGATTGGTGATATGACAGAGTGATCCATTTTACCCGAGTGGCCAATTTAAGTGTTTCCAGTGACTTCCTAACCACATGCTGCTGCTGTATTCTAACACCTCCATTGTCTCAGCCCATCAGGCCAGTGTTACACTTGGTCACCAACTGTGTCCTCTTGTGAAATAGGCTCCTGGGCTCTGTTTGAAATTTCTCAGAGACCAACTAAGTCAGAAAGTGTTTGAAAGATGTGCCCCTCATACAAATTACCTCCTTAGCATGCCTGCCTGTTATCTTGTAAGTGTTGGTCCTGATTTACTTTTCCCAGCTGCTGAAGTGCCGTGGGGAATAGAGCTTTATTTTTTGTCTCTGGCACTGGTAAAATTCCATGTCGATGACCTCAGCAGGTCATGACAATGTTGCTGAATTACTGTGGACCTTCAAGGGCCAGTGGTGGATGAATGACTGAAGCATGTGGGGCCTGCTGACCCGTCACACAGAGGATCTCACATGAGATCCATGTGGACCACTGCCGGCCACTGTGCTGATTCCCTGCAACACTGGATGGTTGCTTTGGCCATGGCCCTTTTTTTTTTTTTTTTTGACTCTGTTGGCGAGGAGGTTAGTATGTAAATGATTTTTAAAATGACTGGTTATTTTTTGCACATGTGGGGCTGATGGGCGATATCAAGTTTCTTAGTGGGGTTTCCTTCTGAGATGCCCTGTGCATGGAGAGCAGAGCCAGGGCTTTGAAGCCGACAGGCCTGGGTTCTAATCTCAACCCTTCCTTATCCTAGCTGTATCTGTGAAGTCGGCGTTGTTATAAGAATTAAGAATAGAGTAGTCCCCTTTTATCCTGGCTTCATTTCCCAGAGTTTCAGTTACCTCTATTGACTGTGAGCTGAAAATATTGTATACAATGAGATATTTTGAGAGTGAGAGGCCACATATAATCTAAGTTACAGTATATTGTTGTAATTGTTCTTATTTGTTATTGCCAATCTCTTTCTGTGCCTAATTTATAGATTAAATTTTATCATAGGTCTGGATGTATGGGAAAAAGCACAGTATGTATAGAGTTGGGTACTATCCATGGTTTCTGGCATCTACTGGGGGTCTTGGGATGTATCCCCATGGATAAGGGGGAACATGTGTAGTATGTAAAATGTTTGGTGTAGTGCTTGCCACAGACAAAACATTCAGCAAGAACAGTTGCTGTCACTATTGCTGTTGTTTTAAACATTTTTAAAAGGATCTGATCAAAAGAGCAGCCACGTGCATGGTGGAGAGTGCTTTGATTTCCATCTGTCATCATGCAGAAGGGAGCACTGCTCCCCTGGCTGTGGCGTTAATGAGAGGGGATGGGAGGGATTTTCTTGGAGAAGAAAGAGGTTTCCTAGGGGTCTTGGCCAAGGCAGAAGGTCGGGAAAATGACAAGCTGGGGTGGTGAGAATTTACACTCTTGTGGAGGGAGGCCATAGGTTTTGTTTAAACAAGGGAGCCCCGTGCAGTCCTGGCAGCAGGGTGACACCTTAGGAGAAGATGAGCTGAAGACAATGTCCAGGAGCAGGGCCGAGAGGAGACTGCAGGATGGAGAAGAGGGAAGTGGCGCTGGGCGGGAAGCACTGGAGTAACCTTGGGACCTGAATCGTCACTCCTGAATACTAAGTTGATCACCCTCTCCAAACCTCAGCTCCTTCCTGGGAACTGCCACTTCTTAATGCTTTAGGGAGGATGAAATTCAGGTGCAGGGCCTGGTCCTGGTCATCCTGGTCGATACTCAGTAACTGCAGCCTTCTTCTCATTCCTGCGACTGTTTAAGGTTGAGCTTCTAGCAATGAGTGGTTTAGTGACTGAGAGAGATTGAAGATGACCTTTAGGTCTCTCCCTTGGCTCCACGGTGGCACTACTGAAAAAACTGGGACAGACAGGGAAGGGGCAGAACCTTGGGAGTGTTTGTACAGGGAGTTTGGGGTGTGTTGGGTTTGAGATGTCCCTGAGAAATCTAAGTCATGGTGTTAAAAGGCACTTGAATCTGTGTTTGGGGGTTAGTGCTAGAAGTACAGTCCTGGCATCTAGGTGGAAATTGATGTAACAAATAAATCCTTTTGCTATGGGGGAAACTTAGAGACTAAGAAGTAGGGCTGAGCATGAAAACTTTCAAAAACCAGCAGTGGAAAGAAGCTGTGAGCTGCACTGTGGAGCGGGAGGAGAAGGGAGCAGTGGAGGCCCAGGAGACCAAGCAGGGGGCTGTAGCTTGTTCTAGTCCACCGTTTCTCAAAGTGTGCACCCCTGATCACCTGCACAAGGGTTTGCTTTCCCCCTCCAGGCACTGATGCCACAGTTCCAGGGATCCACATGCCTGCCGCTTCTCTGGCTCTTGGGGGACTGTGAAAATAGGAGTGAGCTGAAAAAAGTCAAGGATTTGGGGGCCTCCCCGGTGGCGCAGTGGTTGAGCGCTGGGTTGCGAGGCTGCCCGCAGCCTCTGCAGCGCCGGTTTGATCCCCGGCTGCTCCCCGGACACCGGAGGAGGGTCCCACATGGCGCGCAGACCTCTCCTGCTGTCCGCTGCTCCCCTCAGCAGTGTACTTCGGTCCTTCTGCCTGCTCTGCTCCCCGCTCTGGCTCTGGTGAATTCTCTTGCCCTCCCACGCTTCTGACTGTACCCAGTGATTGTATAAATGAATAAATAAATTTTAAAAAAAAAAAAAGTCAAGGATTTGGAAACTGCCAAATTATAAAAATCCATTCAAATGTCTGAAACCAGAAGCTATTTAATGTGCGATGTGGGTGTGTTTGGACTTGTCTCCTGTGATTTAGAGGGGGCCTTCAAAAGTGAGTGTCAGTGGCCCAAAGGCCTCAAGATAGCACCTGACTTGAATCCATTACCTGGACACTCATCCAACTGGGAGACTCCTGGCACCCTCACCCTTAGCCTCGTCCATCCCCTCCTCCGGTGGAGCCCAGGCAGCCTCATTTCATGATAAACCCTTGAGGTGCTGGAGTCTGAGAGCCCTTGGTTGGGCCCTGCCCAGGCTGCAGGCCTGTAAAAGGCAAGCAGGGCTTTCAGGACATGGAGACCCAGCCTTTGTGACCAGCTAGGCTTATTGATTATATAGAAAAATATTTAATTATTGTAACTCTCCCCCTTGTATTGTTTTTTTTTTTTTTTGAGTTTAAGCCCCCGCTGTAAACGTTTCATTAATTCATAATTGTTTACCATGTCACCTGTTAAGCTGTGTGCGTCCTGCTCTCAGTCAGGGGAAGCCTCCGCCAGGAGAGCTGGTCCCTGCCTCCTGCTTCTGCCATAGCTGTGCTCTGTTCTGCCCGCTCCTTCTGTCCTCTAACCCTTCATCCCTTTCCACCATAATTCAGCACCCCACTCTTTCGGGCTTCTCCCTGATTTGCCCCACACTCGTCATCTCCTTCTTGAGTTTTAGACTTTTATGTAATACTAACTTTGCATTTCCCCATTTAGTTACCATCAGCCCAAGGCTTCTTATCTCTAATTTTAACAAGTTTGGAAAACTGAAAGCTGTTTCATTATCTTGGCACAAAACTCAGGCAAAGCCTTTCTGAGTGGATGTGAACTGCCTTTTTAAAATTTATCCCATCCATGTGACTTTTCACATATGCCACTACAGGATTGTCAGTCTGTCTGCTCTTGGGGCAGCTGGGCAGGGTGGGAAGTGAAGGGACCTCATGAGTTTATGCTTTCTGGAACTGCCAGATTCCTCCCATGCTGCGTTCGCCTTCCTGGGGGTGTGCCCGAGGGTGTGCAGGGCACATGGGGAGCTACAGTGTACACACGCCTGATTGCCAAGAGGGCCAAATTTATTTTATGGTTAGAGGGGGAGATGAAATATTAAGATACATACAATAAAATGCAAAATTTTCATGCATTTAAAAGATTTCAAAAGTGAGATTTCAAAGAGAAGTTAGAGACTGTCGCTAGGTGGGCAGACGTCCCCCTCCTCATCCTCAGCTGGGGAGCTCGAGCTCAACTGTCTTCCAGTGCCCCACTGTGGGCAGTGTTGTGTTTCTAGCTGGCTGGCTTTGATTTTGTACTTGGAAAGTTCTCTCAGACCACACAGGATGGCAGTAACACCTGAGACTATGACTTTGTCAAAGAAAGGGGGTAACACTAGTGCCTCCGTCAGACTGGCTGTAACAGAAGAAGGAGATGCAGGAAAGTGAAGGTCCAAAAGGTCACTTAGAAATATCAGTTGGTCATTGAAGGTGAAACATGACAGCTCCAGCAGGTTCGTTGAGATCATTTCAGAGCTGTTTTTCAGACAGCCAGTAAGCCTCCTCTCATTTTTTTTTTTTTTGCATTTGTTGAAGTAGCATTTCCAGGGTCTTGTCTCACCATGCCTTGTGCTCTTCTGCTGTGTTCTGCTTTGTGTTTTACTAGACCACAAATCATGGCGGCAGCGGCGGGGGCTCCTGGGCTCTCCAAGCTGCAGTTTGCCCCCTTTAACAGTGCCTTGGATGTGGGCTTCTGGCACGAGTTGACCCAGAAGAAGCTGAACGAGTATCGGCTGGATGAAGCTCCCAAGGACATTAAGGGTTATTACTACAATGGTAGGCGATAGTAAACTCCATCTTCTGTCATCTTCTGTCATCTTCCCTGCTCTCCACTGTGGGATCAGCTTTCCTTCAGAAAGAGACACCCTTGTCTTTTATAATAATTGCTCTTCCCTGGTTGCTATTTTACTTCCTGACCCAGTTTCATCGGCACTTCCTTTCTCCTGTGGCAGGGAAAAGAAAGGGAATGGTGAAACCCACGGTATTAATCCAAAGAATGAACACTGATTACTTAGTATTGCTGGGAGAGGGGCTTGGAAATATCTTTTTCCAGTGAATATTTTTTTACATTCTTGGCAAATGCTTTGAATTACAAAAGCGCCGTCATTTTCTGCTAAGTCCCTGTTTAGTTGGATAACCAGAAATTGGATGGGACATTTTGAGCTCACTAAAGAGAACATAGTCATCCATAAACAGTGCTATTATGACTGCTGCTGCCGTTACTGACTTTTAATTGAAAATGTTATAATGCTTCTGTCCAGGTGATTCTGCCGGGCTGCCAGCTCGCTTAACATTGGAGTTCAGTGCTTTTGACATGTGAGTATTTTTTGTTCAAAATCTGAAGTGAAGCATACTGTTTGCCCTTTGCAGGGATGAGCGTTCTAAACCTCTCTTATAGGTGGACCACAGGGGGAACCAGAAAGCTCCGGTGAGCAGGGCAGCTCCTCAGAATTCTCTCGTGCTTCCTGTGGCACAGAGATGTATGCTAGATGCTTGGGCTAGAGCTCTCATTTCTTCAGCTGACACTTGTCAGGTGCCAAGTGCCATCTAAATTGACTGAGCCTTAGAGAACATCTCTCCTGATTTTGATCATCATTAATATTTTGCGATCCTCTTGACTTCTTTAAATGCTTATCCTCGGGCATCAGTGTGCATATATGAGGCTGCTCTGTGTTCAAGCCATAGTGCAAGGCATTACAGGGTTTTTACAAAGGATATGACATACGACCTCAAAGAATTTCTGTAAAATCTCAGCGCAAAACTCAGGCAGAACCTCTCTGAATGGATGTGAACTATCTTTTTAAAATTTCTCCCATCTCTGTGACTATTCACACATGCCATTGCCATATGCGGAAGTAGGGCATATGACATAATCTGGCTAGGGGCCATGAGGAGTTTCTGGAGAGAAGAGACATAGCTATTGACTTAGTTGGGTGGGCATTGTCACATCCATAATCCTTTCAGACCTACCAGGTATTTTTTCCTCTCTTTGACAGATGAGGAAACCATGAGACAAAAGGTAAAATGGCCTGCCCAAGGTCACATGTGGCTAAATTTAGGAAGCTAGAGTGAGAGAAGAGTATTTCTGAGGTTTCAATCTGAGTAGTCAAGGACACTTTATTACTTTCAAAGGAAAGAGAAAACAGGAGGGGATACAGTTTTAAGAGAAGGTGAGTTTGGTTTAGAGCATGTTGAGTTTGAGATGCCAGTGCCTGGCAGAGAAGGCTGGAGGCACTGGAGTCAAGGAGGGTGGGTCAGACTGGTGTTGGGACTCCTCTAGGTCAGGGAGGTCACAGGCTGTTTGAGAGGAAGAAACTGTCATGCAAAGGAGCGGAGTATAGAGGGAAGGGCAAGAAATACTGATCTAGCAATGGAGACCAAGCACATGGAACTAGCAGCGGAGACAGGAACATACAGAACTAGCAGTGGAGGCAGGAGTTGTCAGAGAGGATGAAGGACCAGAAAAGTGTTACAGAAACCAAAGAAGGAAGTGCTCTCAGGAATGAAAGAGATGATCAATGATGTCAGAAGCAGAAAAGTCAGATTTCAACATAAGGATCATTGGATTTGTTGATAGATAATTTGTGGTCTTAAGCATTCAGTTTTTCAAGCAGAATTCTACACTTTTATTCTGCAAAAGGATAGAAAGAAACCTCATTGAGTGGCTTTAAGATAATTGAGAGTAAACAATTATGTAAGCAACAAAATAATAGGAGCCCAAATTGGAATAGAAGAGGTAAAACTGTTACTCTTTGCAGATGACATGATTTTTTAAGTAGAAACCCCTAAAGACTTTACCAAAAACTCTTAGAAATAATAAATGAAGACAGTAAAATTGCAGGGTACAAAACCAATATACCGAAATATGTTGAAATCCTGTAAACTAATGATAAACTACGAGAAAGAGAAATTGAGAAAATCATTCCATTTTAATTACATCAAAAAGAATGAAATACTTAGGAGTAAATTTAATGAAGGAAGTTAAAGACCTATATGCTGAAAACTATATATGCTATATATATAAAAACCTATATGCTGAAAGGCAGTGTTGAAAGAAATTGCAGAAGATACAAAGAAATGGAAAGATAGTCTGTGCTCATGGGAGTAGAAGAATTAACATTGTTAAAGTGTCCATGCTACCCAAAGCAATCCACAGATTCAAAGCGATCCCTTTAAGAACTCCAGTGGCATCTTTCTTTTACAGAGATAGGATGAGTAATCCTAATATATATATGGAACTACAAAAGACATTGAATAGACAAAACAAGCTTGAGAAAGAACAGCAACACTAGAGATATCACAGTCCTGATTTCAAAAAGGCTTAGGTGAGGTCAAGTTGAGTGCTTTCTTTTTTTTTTTTTTCTTTTTTTTTTAACCTTTATCATTTTTTACATTTTTTAGACAATATTTTCTTCCCCCCACACCCTCAGATTGAGTCCCCATAGAATCTTCTTCCCCAAGGCACCATCACCACAGTCCCCTGTGCTCCTCCCTCCATCCCTCTCACCCCTCTCCCTCCTTGAGTGCTTTCTTGGACATTGGCAATGTCAAGGTGAGGGAGCCACCAAAGGCAAAGTAGTCTTTGTCAGGAATACCTGGTTTTCAAAAGTCATAGTAGCCAAAGATTAGGGTTATTTCAAATACAGTATCTCAAAAGTCAGTGCATTTTATTCCTTTCTCTCGATCAAACTGCAAAAGCTAATTGCAGAACAGAATTCCAGAGGGTGTTAATCTTTGTCTTTAAAGGCTGCGTGTTGCTGTTTCTCCTTTCCTACAGAGCTTTCTTGCTCCATAATAAATTCCTTGTGATTACTTGTCAAAACTAATTAAAGCCTAGTAAGCTCTTGCCTGTTTTGGCAAAGACTTGCTTTCTGTTGGAGCGATTACACGATATTGAGGAATGTACAGACAACACACAAGTGTTCAGCTATCTGAACGCGGCCAGAGTGCAGCGATATGTCAGCAGCATCGCTTTCAAGTGTTGTGGGAGTCCCGGCATGCTTCTCAAGCAAGGCTTGCGCCTATCTTTATTCTGACATCAATTTGAAGGGCTTTTGTTTTTAATTTTAATAATTTTGTTCTTTGGAACAGCTAATTCTAGACAAAAGCCATTCGCAGGAGTTAGGTTTGGTCCTATTCCTAAACCCAAGTACCTTAAACTTTGATCAGTCAGGACGTTTTCGTAGAAGGAGGTAAGAACATCTGTGATCCTGCAGCTGTGACTTTCACATAAATTGTGTGACCTTAGTGGCCATTGTCTTCTCTTTAGCTGTTACACATGCCAGTGTGGGGCCGTGTGAGGCTCCGAGAGAGGTGGGCAGGGAGAAGACCTGTCCCCTACTGTTGTGAAAACAGCCCAGGATTGAAGTGCGAAGAGCTGGTGCTGGTGTCTGCAGCTGATTGAGTGTGCTTCTGGGATAAGTCCTTTTAGTTGCTCAGTTTCAGTTTCCTCATCTCTAAAATGGGCTCTTGGTTTCTAGTATCCCTTCCAGTTTGAAAGGTTTGTGATTTTCCAAGGCCCTCATTAGAAGGATATTGGGTGTCTGAATGGTCTGGTCCTCCCCTAATTCCTGTGTTGTGGGTAGTGTGAAGTGACAGTGTTAAGAGGTGGGAAGAGATTAGATCCTGAGGGCACGGCTCTGGTGAATGGGCCAGTGTGTTGTCAAAGAGGGCCTGAGAACACAATTCCCCCTTCCACACAGCTAGAAGTGGACAGTCCGCACCCAGAGAGGGCCTTCCCCAGAACCTGGCCATGCAACCACCTTGATCTCAGACTTCCTGCTGCTGGGATTATGAGAAATGAATTTCCATTGTTTATAAGCCACCCAGTCTGTGGTAATTTGTGATAGCAGCCCCAGGGGATTAAACGAATTAGGAAATTTAATGAAAGTGTGAATCAGAAGAAACAAGTTCTTTATATCCAAATTATTTTTATTATTGTTATTCTTTGTTTTGATACTGTACATCTACTTGGGCTTGTGGGGGAAATCTTGGAGAGAGGTAGAAGACAATTATTTGCATTATAGTGTGCCCAGATGGGTGATAAATGTGGGGAGGTGATGGTTATTTCAGAAATACCTGGTGATTACTTCCTCGTGTCTTAATAATAGAATGTGCTAGGCCCTGGGCATACAGAAAGGACCAAGGGACAGTGGAAGAGCCACAGTCCTAGTCTCCTCTTTGCATAGCACCAGCTAAGTCCTTGTGCTCTGAGTCCCTGGAAGCCTAACTGAGCTCCACCAGCAGTGAGCAACACAAGAGCCTGTGCTCTGCAGAGTGGTCAGCGAATTATCGTGGAGCCAGATTCTATCAGTACCAGCTGCCTGGCACAGAAGGATGCTGTCTTCGGGGAGGGTATGCTGCTGACCTGGATCCCAATGTAATGGCCCAAACACAAAGGAAGCTTATTTCTTGCCCACAGGAGCTCAGGGCAGGGGGCCCAGTCTTCATTCTTCTGTGACCACGTCATGGAGGGCTTGGCTTTGTAGGCTGCTTGAGACTGAACTGTCACCTTCAGGCAACAGCGTATAGAAGCGGAAGGAGGGCCAGAGTGGGACTAGGAGGAGGACACGCACCCAGTCTCTTAAAGGGCCTGACCGGGCCAGCACGTGGCCTGGAGGGAGAGCACTTAGGCTCTGTGGGAAGAGCGCAGCTCACCTGTCCTGTCAGGGTGGCGGAGATGCAGGGCCAGCTACAAATGCTGCACAAGTGTCCTGTTTCCCATTGAGATGAGAAGAGATTTTGGTGTACAACCTCTCCATCATCTGCAGATGTTTTTTAAAAAGAGTTTTTCTTCCCCTGGGCTTCTTTCCTTTGAGGAACATTTATCTTTTCAGTCATAAGAATTTTCTTTTTTAAGCCTCAGTTGCACTTGGAGAAATGGCAGTCTGTGACCTTGAAGAACTTCAAAAGTAGCTAAGGAGATGAGACTCACATGCAGCAGCATCTGTGTGGGCACTGGTTCCACGTTCTCTGCCATCTCCATAGCAGCTGGCTCAGAGCTGATGTGTACTAGTTGCTCAAATAATTGTTGGATTCACTAACGAGCAGTCTAAGCGGGTATCTGTCGGAATGGGGTGTGGTGTGGCTGATGGAAAGGAGTCAGTGGACTCTGGTAGAGCGGGCTATTAAGGAAGGCGGGGAATATGCACAGGGCCCCAGACTGGGTGTGACTTCCCAGGTACCCAAAGTCCCGAGAGGCAGGGAGCACAGCCTGTGTCCATGCTGCACTGGTTTATCCCTGGCTCTGCGGGCCCCAGCTGTGCCGGCTTCACTTTGTTTCTCTCATACCTAGGGGTGCTCCCACGCCAGCCCACTGCTGCCCAGCTGTCGGCACGCTGTATAACACCAACACACTCGAGGCATTCAAGGCTGCAGATAAGAAGCTACTTTTGGAACAAGCAGCAAATGAGGTTAGCTGGGAAAGCTTCATGGTCAGTCTTTGCCTGTGGTCCTGGCTGGGGCTGTGCTTCTGATTGGGGCTCTGGGTCTGGTGAAACTAATATATCGGCTCTTCTTGAAGCTTGAGGTGAGCTTTGGTCTGTTTACCCCGAGAGAATCCTCGCTGCTGTCTTGTACACGGGGGGGGGAAGGCCGGGGGAAGACGCATAGGCTCTCTCCTGGCACAGGGCGGGTGTTTGGGGTGCTGCAGCATTCCAAAGGCTCGCTGCTCCACACCAGTCTGCGTCTAGAAGCAATTGACCTCTGAGAGCTGTATTCCTGCGTCAGGATATGTTTGGTTTCTCTGCTCTTGGTGCCCATCAGAGAGGCTTCCCGGCTCTAAGCCCCATGATGCTGTTGGAGAGGATGACAGTCTCTCGCACTGTATCCAGTCTGTCCCCTGGCCTGGCCCCTGGCCTCTCTGTCCTGTCACTCTGGTCCTCACCTTCTCTGACCTGGTCAGAGAATGACTTAAAATCCCATTGTCCTCTTTCTGTATCCTGGGGACATGATATTCTCTGCCTGGACTGTCTTTAGCGCTGCACATCTAAGTTGGTGCAAGGAATTAAAAAGGGACAGTTTATCTCAGTCTTCTCTAACTCACTTAATGGAACAGTCTCCACACTAAGCTTCAGAAATGAGATTCTTATTTCTGGATGCTATGGCAGAGGAGGAAGTTTCTCCCTTCTGTCCTAAGGTAGGCATCCCTTATCTCCCTCGAGACAGCGCATCTCAGGACTCAGATCATGTGATGAGGCTGGTCTCCCCCAGTCTTGGCGTGACAGCCCCTGGACCTCCTACTTGGGCCGCGTGTTAAAAGGGTATTTCCAAAGAGTTGAATCAGGTCTTAACCTGTCATCCCAGGTGGCAGGTTGCTCCCCATGGGCTCCCCATTCCCTACTTGATTTATCAGAAGTAGGGACCTGCTCTTCAATGCTGCAGCTCATCCAAGGTTAGTATCTCAACAGCAGGAACTGCTTTTGCTTTTGTCCTCTTCCACGCATATTGGGGAGTGGCTCTTGTGGGCAGTGTTTGTCTTGCTTAGTGACACAAAGTGCAAGCCACTGCTCTTAGTTACTACAACATCGCATGGTCGGCACGAGCACCCATCTCATGGGTGCTGACCAGCAGCCACTCCCAGATGCAGCCTTGCTGAATGCATCTAAATGCTCCTTCATGCTTCAAGGCAGATTAATCCCAAAGAAAACTCTAAGAAATCCTCAGGACATAGTTTAGAGATCACTGCCTCAGTGAGCCGCACCCTGGCTCTGTCCCACCTCCCCAGCCCGTATTCTCTAGCTGGTCCACATCATGTGATAGCACATCCCTCCCCCACCGAGTGGTATATGGACATCCATGCCTGTCTCCCTAGACTTTGTGAAGGGGGCTGCATCTTTTTATTTCTGTAGCCCCATGTGCCTGGTATACAGTAGGCAATCAGCAAATATTTGTGGAAGGAAATAATGAAGGCATAAAAAAGACCATGTTGCCTCCTCAGATGCTGAGTCCACTGAGAGAAGGCTTCTGGACTCTCCCCTTCCACAGCCTCCGTGGGCCCTGAGGCTGATGGAGAGCCTGTGTGAAGTGGGCAGGGGAGTAATGAGCCACTTCACTGTGGATCAGCAGTGCTGGGCCAGGAGACAACTTGCTGCTTTCCAGCTCTCTGCTTTGCTGGATGTGAGAAGCACAGAGTCCTGCACTAATGCTTTTCTTTCTTCTGGCAGATATGGGAATCCATAAAATCGGGTGCTGCTCTGGAGAACCCTGTCCTCCTCAACAAGTTCCTTCTCTTGACATTTGCCGTAAGTAAATGGACTCTGGGTCTCATTTAGATTGCTGAAATGCCTGGCCAGGGCCCAGGTGCCGATGGAGCAAATGGTCTGCTAGGAGCCAGATAGTGCTGGCTCTACTACCAGTGCAGAGTTAATTCGTGCTGGTGGTAGTTGCATGGTTTGCCCACAGGGACCGGCCTCATCGCTCAGGCCATGATAAACTCAGGGAGCAGTGGCTGCTGTAACATCTTTGTCAAATAGGTCCTGCATAGCTCAGTGGCGAGTCCAGTGACATGAGGTAAAGACTAGGGGTTCCCAGACATTCCCCCAAAAGTTTTGGGCTCCATGAGACCACACTGCATAGTTTGCCCACACAATTGTGTTTTTGTATGAAAGAAAGATGTTTTATATAAGTGAGATCTAATTAAAATGAACATCAAGGGCAGCCTTCACGAAGACGAGGGGTCATATTATAGCAACATCTGCCATCCGGAGAAATAGAGGAAATTAAGGGAAGGACCTAGTCTCAGTGGTGAGGAAAGTGGGAGTAATTAGGGTTGGTAGTAGAGATCTCACATGCACACATGTATGCACACGTAGGGGATGGAGAGTATGTACACAAATGTATGCAGAAGTGTGTGTGTCTACCTCTAAGCAAATTCATCCCTTATAATTATGTTGACTGTATAATCTGTATACTATTTCAGGTCATTTCCAGTATTGACCATTACAGAAAAACCTGCAGTGAACAATATTGGTCCTACTGATTTTTTTCCTACTCATTTTATTTTTTAAAACATGCTGTGCTGGGCCTCCCCGGTGGCACAGCGGTTGAGCGCTGGGCTGCGAAGCTGCCCGCAGCCTCTGCAGTGCCGGTTCCATCCCCGGCCGCCTGCGAGTGTCCTACATGGCTTGCGCAGACCTCTCCTGCTGTGCTTGCTGCTCCCCTCAGCAGCGTACTTCGTCTGTCTGCCTGTTCTGTTCCCTGCTCTGGCTCTGGTGAATTCTCTCACCCTCCTGTGCTTCTGACTGTACCCAGTGCTTGTATAAATAAATAAATATATATTTTTTAAAAAGCAAAAAAAAAAATGCTGTGCTGTGAGTATACAAACACACTGATGTTGACAAGTACGAAGGGTGCCATTCACAATAGCTTCATCAGCTGAGGCTGTTAATCCTCTTCCCCATGTTTTTCTCCTTCCTTTTTCTCCATGTTGTAAGTTCTGTCTGTCTTCCTCCCCCACAGACTGATCCTCCATTTCCCCCCAACATCGTCACTCTGATTTTCTGCTCAAGGCCAGAGAATGACTGGAATCAAGCTGAAAGCCACAGCAGGGGTGGCGGCTACAAGAGCACATCTTCTTACACTTCTAGTGTTTTCTGTGGGACAGTGGGCAAGAGAAATGTTTAAATTCTTCTTGGGAGTCATAAGTGCACTTTGGCATTCAGGACCTGTTGGTACATTTGAGTAATTTTGTAAATTCACCACTGGGAATAGTTCCATATTTCTGGATTTGTTACTTTAACCCCAATCTCAATTCTGTACTGAGAATTTTATTAGAATCTAATTGACAAATCGCCTTTAATAAGAAAATGATGTTAGCTCTCACTTAAAGTTCTAAGACGTTTCCTAGCATAAGTTTGTTTATTGGCCTTGTTTTACTGAGCATCTTATCCTGTCTTTAAAAATATTAAAAGTATCTATCTTTTAAAGTCTCCAGATACAGAGGACTTTATATTTAATTTAACAAAGGTCCTTTGTATCTGGAGAAGAATCCTAAGAAATTCAGGCCTTTTGACTTTTGAAGATGACCTGATCAAGCTCCTGAGAAGCGGTGCGGGCCTTCATCTAGAATTGTTTAACCTTTCGGTGAAGATCAGTTATGACAAATCACTTAAGTACAAAGAAGGGAAGACTCTCTGGAGGTGTTTTTGCTTTTCTTTCTGCTGTCTTTAGGACTCTAGGCACAGACATTTAATTAAATTCAATTTTGTGGTTTGTTTGGTAATTGTCAGAAGGGAATTTGTTCTTAGTTGATCAATTAGTGGCAGAATTAGAAACCGTGGAAACCATAATTACTAGACTTTCTCATCTGGACACATTTATTATAAGTTTATATTGAAAAAGTTATCTGTGATCCCATCTATATGAGAAGTCCAGAATATGCAAGACAGAAATAGATTGGCGGTTTCCAGGGGGCGGGGGTGGAGAAGGAATAGGGAGCTTTTGTTGAGTAGTTCTCACTAATAATCTAATGGGAAATTTCTGATAATGGGGTTTCTTTTAGGAGTGAAGAAAATGTTTTGAAATTAGTGGGAATGGTGGTACATACAACCTTGTCAGTAGATTAAGTATACTCTTGTGTACATTAATGTGGTGAATTATTTGTATGTGAATTATATCTCAGAAAGTCATTGAACAGATCATCCACTTTTCATTCATAGCAATATTCAAGGAAACAGTAATTAACCACATCAACCGCTTTAGTGGTTAATGGTGGGGCAGCTGTGTGAGACTGGGGTCCCAGCCCATGGATAATGGGGGCCCAAAATGCTGCGGAAATGCAGCTTCAACACTCATCACCCCTGGTCGCCTCCCTTGGTGGGGAGCAATCAGATACACCCCCAAAGATGTAATCTCTCAGATCCTGAGAGATGAGAACCTCTTGTGTGACCCAGACAGTCAGATAATCACTTTGCCTCTGCTCCTTGCAGAGAGTGAGCTGCCCGAGGGTTGGGGCTACATTTTATTCACCTTTTTGTCAGGATATCTCATCTTTTACTTCATGCATGGCAAGTGCTTATAGTAGTTAGCTTCAAATACCTATAAGGTATTTCTAAAAGCAGGCTGCATTACCACAGCCTGTGTAAGTGATGAACAGTACGGCATCCTTGATGACCTGCTTCACTCCTTTGATCATGAGAGGAATGGCAGCCGCATTTGGAGGGCGTGCCCGCACGTGGTACATTGAGTGTGTATGTACCATGGACAAAAGTTTAAATTTTGGAAGCAGATTTCTGTTCTTTTCTTTCCACTTACTGATTTGTTCTGGTTTTGTCCTCTCTAAGCTTCAGTCTTCTGTCTCCAACGTGGGATGATTACACTAATCCCCGGGTGGTTGTGTGTATTCAACAACAATGATGCTGATGTTGTCCATTGCTCACTGAACATGCGCTGGTAGCTAGTGGGCTATAAAGTTTTTTTTTTTTTTTTTTTTTTTTTTGTGGGACTCTCGCCGGCGGCCAGGGAATGAACTGGCGCTGCAGAAGCTGCGGGCAGCCTCGCAGCCCAGTGCTCAACCGCTGCGCCACCAAGGGAGGCCCTAAAGCATATTATTTTGATCCTGATTTGTTGGTGTGTGGTGTGTGGGAGGGCATGTTGGGGTAAAGATAGAAGTTCTGAATTCTGTCGTGAGTTCTGTAGGAATTGAGACTTTCTGGGAAGCTGGTCATCTCTTGTGTGCATCAGTCCTCCTGTCTCAGTAGCTATAGGAAGTTACATGAACAGACGTGCTTTGATTTCATTGTTGGTGCTATTTTGATACCCTCTGTTATGTTCCTCCTTCCAGGATCTGAAGAAGTACCACTTCTATTATTGGTTTTGTTGCCCTGCTCTCTGCCTTCCAGAGAGTATACCCCTCATTCAGGGACCAGTAGGCTTGCAGCAGAGGTTTTCACCAAAACAGGTATGAACAGATAAAGCAAAATGCTTGTACAGTTGGGTTTTATGTTCACAAATAGTTATCTAATTCTTTCTAAAGTCAAAGAGGTGGTCAAAGAGCTAATATCCCATGAATAAATTTAAATGGAGAAAAGGATTATAAAGTGGAGACTGCTGGTGGGTACAGGGCTTCTTTTGGGGGCCACGAAGATGTTCTCAGATCAGTGTGGCGCTGGCTGGAGGACCCTGTGAGCGTGCCAACAACAGCATCAAACTGCGGCGTGCATGGGGTCAGCCGTTTGGCTAGTGAGGTGTGTCTCACTAAAGCCGTGGAAGCTTGTGGGAAGGCTCCCGGTAAAATTCACCAGTGCAGGGCTCAGGCTGGGTTATCACAGGTGAGAAGCAATGTTTGGCTACTTCTCTAAATCCTTGTGTTAACATCTTAGGGAACCACCATAAAGGGTCCCCTGTGCTCTTGTCTAAGACGCCACCATGCATGTGGAAGGGATCCCGTAAAAGTGAACCGAGTTGTTCGGGAGGCTTTTCTGTTCATTTGCTGCAAAAAGAATAGGAGTGTGATCATTTATATCCAGCCATCTGGCTTTAAAGTTTCTCTTCCTTTCTGTTCATTCTTAGCGCAGAACTCAATATGTGATGATCTGGAGAGTAACTTGGTGTTTCCTGATTTCAGATTCAAGCCCTGGAGGGTGCATATGATGATCTTTGTCAAAAAGAAGGGGTCCCAGCCCTACCTTACTTCTTAATCAAGTATGATGACAACGTGGTGCTGGTTTCCTTGCTTAAACACTACAGCGATTTCTTCCAAGGTCAAAGGACAAAGGTCAGAGAAACTTTGAGTATCATTTTATTATCCAGTAAAAAGGTAAAAATTAAAAATCGGACATTCGTGTTATGCGCGACAACTGCAAAATTCAAGTTCTTTTAGATTCCTTTCGGTCCCCACGGGATGTGCCAAAGTATATCTTTACCTTCCCCTAACCCGGCTCTGCTGTTCCGAGTCAGTTCCTCTCCAGCTTTCTGTTATAGGGTGATTTTGGATTGCTCGCTTCCTATTAGTGGTAAATTGTTTTCTGCTTTCCTTCCTGATCTGTTTTACATCCGTGTTTTAATTTATTGCTGATAACACCACTGTAGTCCAGGCCCTGGCTTTCTCACCCCTGGACAGTTAGTCTTCTTGCTTCCACTTTGCAGACCACCAGAGAACGTTCCTCAGAATGCTCACGTTCACCCTCACTCACTGATTCAAGAGTTCAGGGTGTCTTCCTTCCGGCTGCAGGCTGCCTCCTCTGCCACTGTTCTCCTTATGAACCGTGGCTCCAGCTAAGTGTGTCTGGTTTCCACTAGACAGTCCCTACCCCCAGTCAAAAATACCTAGAACTTTTTTGTGTTTCTCTTTGTCCTCATGGTGTATCTTTTTTTCTGAAACATATTCTATCTGTGAGAATCCTAGGAAACTCTCTGTCCTTGTTGAAATCCTCTGTCCACCTGGCTGCCTTCTCCTGAGACAGTGTCCATGCTCTCTCCCTTTCTAAACTCACTGCACTTGACCCCTCCCTGTCCCTAGGCGCTGCTCCAGTCCCTTACACATGACTTTCATGCCGTGTTAGACTGTGAGCTCCTCGAGGGCAGGGTTGTGTCTCCCATCTGTCTCCTGGTGTCTCGCACTTGCCTTCCTCCCTCAATAAAATTCTTTTGAATGAATGAGAGTTCTTTCAGTGTCTTTTAGAAGTAATGAGATTATATAACATGTTTTAGCCACACAAGAGATTGTGAATTGAAAGTGAACAATTGATGTGTCTTATACACAAGCTACATTCCCTTCCTCATAGGTGCTGGGGAGAATTAAGAGAGGATGGATAGGGCCTCCCTGGTGGCGCAGTGGGTTGAGCACAGCACTGTGGAGCTGTCTGCAGCCTCTGCAGCGCGGGTTTGCTTTCCGGCCAGCCAGGGAGAGACCCACATGGCACAGCAGCCTTCTCCTATCTCGCCCGCTGCTCCCCTCAGCAGTGTATTTCAGTCCGTCTGCCTGTTCTGTTCCTTGCTCTGTCTCTGGTGAATCCTCTCACCCTCTTGCACCTCTGGTCTGTACCCCAATTCTTGTATAAATAAATAAAATCTTTCAAATAAAAAGGGAGAGGATGGTTATTAATAGGCTTTGTGAAGTTTTACTCACATTATAATTGTTCCTGCTCTGTTTTCTCAGAATGAGTTTATCAATTTGCAATTACAAAGGAAAATTTTTCCCCACTAACCTCAGTCTCAGCTACTCTATAAAAATGGAATTTTGAGACCCCGAATTATGTAGCCAACATTACCTTTACCAGAAGAGGCAATCTTTGTTGTCTTTTAGGTTTAAAAAAAAATCTGACGGAACAAGATGAAGTTGCCTTAAGAGAAGCCCCCCGCCCCACCTGAGATTTGCAGGGTGATCACTTCAGCAGCCCCAGGAAGGCTTGACCTGCTCCCTAATTGTGTTTTCTTTAAATTAAAGCTCTATAACAAATGTACCTTTGATTGATTTCCTCTCATTTCTTGCATGATTTATAGTGTCCAAGGGATCACTTAATGCCAAGCTTCTTTATGACTTAGAGCTACAGTGTGGCCCAGTAATCAGATCTGGGTATGCGTTCAGGTGTGGACACACCATAATATGTAACTGAAACAAAACTTCCACAAAATAATATTTTCCTAGTTTTGTGCTCTTTGTTTTCTATCCTTTTCTGTTCTGTCCTTTTGGGAAATGGAGCTGTGACCACTGTGATTTAGGGCTCACAACCAGCTCACCAGCTATGGTGGGGACAGTGCTGGTGCCTGTTTAGAGAAACCTGGTTGCTTGGCAAACTGCATGAGGCACGGACCATTCATTATTTTTATTTCTGGCTGCATGTACCTGTTTGGAAAACTTCACACAGCTCTTCAACTATTAGTTTAAGGTTTTGAATTTTTCTTAAGTAAATATTTTGCATATATCCTTCTAGTCTCTTTCTGTATGCTTTTTAGAGATTAAGGTTGTGCTCTTTTCTGTTTTATTTTGTATACTTGTAACACACTCTGTATCAACATAATTTTTCATAGAGATGTAATATTCTTGGAAGTTTTGGGGCATTTATATTTCTCATAAATCTTTACTATTAGGAGGTTGTACAGGAAATTCCTCTCACTTCTCCATGTACCTTTCCCCAACACCCATTTTGAATTATTTTCTTAGAAAATATTTCTAGACATAGAGTTACTGGGTCAGCATTTGAACAGTTAAATGGTTTGTAGTCAGTCCTGTGCTGGTAACTGTTTAACAGCTGGCTCTTGGAGTGTGGAGGAGCCCTGATTTCAGAGTGAGGACTTATTTCCATGCTGTCAGCCCTCCCATCGGGGCCAATTTCAGGCTGTGTGTGTGACGTGACATGATGCAGACATGGGACGGGGTGGTAACTGGGCCTGCCCCGGCCCAAGCCAGCCTGCTCCGGCACAAACTGGTTATTGTAACTATCACCCTAAACTGCGCCCTTATCAGCACTGGGTTCTACACATTTTTACCATTTGGGTCCTTTGAAAATGGCCCCATTTAAATTCTTCAGCCTCTATTTATGTTCATTACTTCCCTCCATGAAATGTTGACTCCACGTGGCTGTCAGGGTGGCCCCACAACCGAGCTGCTCTTCCCTGCCTTGTGATGACCACATAGCCCACATCGCTGTCCCCAGGCCAGGATTTCGGGAAAGCTCGCTTGAATCTTCTGCTTTCTTCAGTGCACTGATTGAAGATTGAAGGTTTGGGAAAGGTTTTGCCATTTCAACATTAGCCTTTACTTGTAGAACTTTAGAATCTTTGAACAAGAGCAGCAGCAACAGAGTAGCCTCAGTGCTGTTACCTGGGTGCCCTTCACAGATGACCCCTCTGTATCTTGGCAGTGGCCTCTGACGTGACCGAGCATTAGACATCTCTTAAAGCAAGTAATCTCTTTGTGTGTTTCCTGTTCCATGAAGTGTTTGGGTAATAGAGAGCCATTTGTCAGATAAGCATGTTTTATGGGATCAGTGTGACTTCCTCCGTTGAAGACACTCAAGTTGACAATTGTGCCCTCTTTTCATTCCCACATTGTGCTTTTGCAACGAGTGGCTGAGTGGACTGTTAGCCAGATCGTGACTGAAGCATTTCAATGAATTCTGTGCTCTCAGCCAAGTAGAAAGCAGAGTTTCTTTCATAAACCTTCGAACCAAAGTTTTTTCCCAGTTACATTTTGCCTCTTTCCTCTCATTTGCATTATAAAAGGAAGTGATTTGCCCAAGTTTACCCAGTGGATTTGTCACAAAGCCAGTTCTGGAACCCAGAAATCCTAGCCAATGATGAGTTCTGACTGCAATTTTAAAAGTCTGTTTACCTAAATAGTTGAATGGACTTATCTAGCCTTCTGCTGATTAATTCCTACAGTGAGTGAGGTTCCTGGTTTGGATCTTAACAATCTTAGAGTCTTTTTTGGATTATCAAAGAAACAGTAAATGATGTTTAACCTGGTGTAAAATGGATTCTGTCATTTTCCTGTCCAGGTGCCTGCTTTTTGTCCTCACACATGCCTTGTGTGGGTAACACAGCCCTTTTCATGTATTTTCAAGGTGACCTCCCTTCACGTAAAGGAGATCTTCCTGCTCTCTAGCTTATCTTAGGTCAGGTTGCTCTAAGAAATATATTCTTGATCTTTTCTGCTCAAAAAATGATTCTCTTTTCTTATTACCTTCCTCCTTTATTGCCTTTGTATTTAGTGTCAGAAATACACTCTTTGAAATCTACTTGTAGTGTCTAATGCAACATTCTAACTGATATAACTTACATATCACTTAGTCCCAATTCCACATTTGCAGATGATGAAATGTGGACCCAGAGCATGTTGAATTAACTAGAACTTAGCTCCCTCTTTTCTCTCCCCATTAAGAAAAGATACCTTGATACCGAAGGTAGTTATCTATGTAATGGTAATAGATTGAACTGAACAAGACCTGCTATAGTAGATCTATGTTGTTGTTATAGTTACATGTCTTGAGTACGTGCCTGGTCCCAGTCTCTGCTAAGTGCAGGAAAGAATTATCCTACACATAGGAAAACTAAAGCACAGAAAGCACGTAAATCTTTGCAGGTCTTGTAAGATAAATGACTCTGACATCTGATGAGAGTCCAGGTCTGTGGTATCACATTTGCAAATTAAATCTCAGCTTGTCTTTGTTAATTTCAAGAGGGACAGTACCTAGATGCTTCCTAAATAAATAGTCTTTAGACACCCTGTAAGATTAAGCGTAATACAGTCTGGCTTATTTTTTGACCTCTCGGGGACTTTTTTTCCCTTTTTTTCATATTCTGTAAAGTTCTATAGTTCTGTCATTCTGGAGCCAGGAAGAACCTTTTTAAATGAAATGACTCAGCCTCTTCATTTTGTATGTGAGGTGAGAACTTCCCAAAGTCCTAAAATCACTTATCTGCAGAGTTGGGATGCCTGCCTGCCTGCCTGCCGGTGCTCCCATTGGGGCTTTTTTTGATGAATCAGGCCATTTTCTTCTTTGAAGTTTCACAATTGATCAAGTTAAATATCCATTTCCCCCTTTTCCCCCTTTTCTTGCTGGATAACAAATTTGCAAATTCTTTGAAGAATTCTTGAAATGTGAACTTGAGGTGATGGTCACCTATGGATGTAGCTTCTCTAGCAGATACTGTGTCATGATTGAGAAAACACAATACAAGGGCGTGCCCGGGGGGGTGGGGGGAAGCAGCTAGAACTGCAGGAAGACAACTTCTTCATCCTTCCCTGGGTCTGGAGAGCTCCCTGGCTTCTCATAGACAGCCCTCCTTGAGGCCATTCTCTCTACTTAAGGCTCCCTGGGGAGAATCCCAATGTCAAATGTCATTGAACGGAAAATCTGGAATGTTCAGAAAGGGAAGAGGGGAGGAAAGGAATTTGCTGAGATGCTCATCATGGTTTTGTATGGAAGCTTCAGGTGTCTGGACCAGACCTTCCCTTCCCCTCTAGCTGTCTCCCACCATCCCTGCCCAGCGGAGGAGGTGGGGGAACTGTCCATTTATTGGGGCATGAAGAAATTGACCAATTCTGTCACTTGTCAGCAAATATTTGCTGAGCACCCGGTGCTGTTCAGGTCCTAGGAGTGGAAAGATGAGGACAGTGGACATTGTTCCTGCCCTCACAGAGTTAATAGACCAGCAAGGGAAACACATATGAAACTCATCCTGTGTTTCCTTTGTTCTAAAATGCTCTTCACTTCGTATTTTGATTTTTCTAAAGTTGGAAATTTCTTGCAATTATCGTGTGTATTTAATGTGGTGATGTTGCCCCCACCAGTGCACCTCTATAATTTATGGTGCCTCTGAATTAAGAAAATAATAGCAGTCACACAAATAATCAGTTACCATAAGGAAACATATGGGATATGAAGAACCCAATTTTAAACCAGCACTTTTTTTCTCCACCTGAGTGTAGAGGCGAGTGCTGCCGTGACAGGGTGAGGATGACGGCGGTCACTGCCATGGAGGCGCTAGTGCCAAGGAGCTGGGGTGGGGTCGGGGGTGGTGCAGGTTCAAGGAGCAGGCAGTTGTGATGCAGGTGGCCTGTGGGGGACCAGATTTGGGGAAACTGCTGTTGAAATCTCAGGCTGCTCCTTTGAATCACCCAGGGACTTTCTAAAACAACCAGCACTGAAGCTGCCCCCCAGACTAATGAAGTGAGAGCCTCTGGAGGTGGCACAGAGGTACAGAGAAGAATTTGACAGTCCTGCCATTTCCTGCTGTCACAAAGTTCTGTCTTCTAATCTGAGATACCTTTATTTTCTTCTCTTCCCTTTACCCTTCAGCAAGTGTCTATTTGCTACCATTTTTTCAGAATAGCATGAAAAGGAAAGAGGGGGTGTCAGCAATGTCTGTGTATGAGTCCGACAGGATACCTGACTCAGAAAGTCTTTTCTGTTCACAGATAACAATCGGTGTATATGATCCCTGTAACTTAGCCCAGTACCCTGGATGGCCTCTGAGGAACTTTCTGGTCCTTGCAGCCCACAGATGGTATTTACATGTGTCTGTCTGTCTTTGTCTGTTTTTCACAACATGTCTGCCTCTATCTCTGCCTGTTTTCCCAAAGGCGTTTTTTTTTTGTTTGTTTGTTTGTTTTTTCATTTTTGTCATAGAAATGAGATAATAAATCATTCAATGAGTCATGATCCCATCTGCATCATCCATGAGCCCGTAACTGGCTCCTCTGGAGCTTCAGACCTTGACCAACTGCGCTAAAGATATTTTAGAGAAAGGCAGGGCATGCAGCTGGAGCGGCCAACCCTGAAATTCGCTAGCTCTCCCTCTCACCATCTGGTTCGTTTTCAGATAGGATTTTCCTATTGATACCACCCTCCTTCCCCCTCCCCCAAAATAATTAAACCAGTTCTATCCACAAGGCCAATGCACATTTGAAAAGAGGGTCAACAGCAATAGCTATCAAGGAAATAAATATAATGAGCTATACTTATATTACTCACTCATAGAGATAAGATATATACATCAGATACTACTACAACATCCATCAGAATGACTGGGAACAAATGACAGGATGGACTGTGGAAGATGGGGTGCGATTTAAAAGCCCAGAGATGCCAGAGAGCTGGTTCAGCTAATGCAGCTAAAAGTACCCATGTCCTAGCCATTTCCCCCTCAGATAAATCACTCCCAGAAACATGGGCTCCAGATGCAAACCAGACACACTTAGGAGAATGTTTGTGCCAGCATTATTCTCATAACCTAAAGCTGGGGATACCCAGGCATTCCTCAGCAGTGAAGTGGGGAGTGAGTCATGTATTCACTGCAAGGAAGGCTGTGCTAGTGGGTCCGAATCAGGTAATGGTATGTATTACTGGAATTTTACAAACATCATGTTGAGTGACCTATGTCAGACCTAAAAGAACACCTACTCAATGCCGCCATCTTGTGTAAAGGTCAAAACAGGCAAAACCCACGTGGACCCAGAAGTTAGAGCACTAGGTACATTTGAGAGGGATGGTAATGACTGGAGAGGCAGGAGGCAAGCTCCTTGTTATTTAGGATGTTTCTACCTGTCTCTGTGTCTGCTTTACTTAAATAGAAATGCTAACTTGAAAAAAGGAAAAATGGCAAAGAGCTCAATGATACCAGTTCCCTGGAGGGAGAACCGTTCCCAGCCTTATCCAGGTAGTCAGTGTGCATGGTGCAGACAGGTTCCTGGCTACTCTGAGGTGTAATTTCAGGTGGGGAGAAGAGGCCCAGAAGAACCCACCTGTGTCTTAGAGACTTTTCCCGCCTGCACTTAAGATTCGTCTGTCAATTGTTTATGCACCGTGTGATTGTTCTATAAAGAATCACAGGCAGTTCAGCGTTCAGGCTCTGAACACTTGGACAAAGGGAGCGGACTTGGACTGTCCACTGTCTTTCGGGTGTCATCCCCATGGATGTCAGGCAGGCAGAGTTAGAATGAACTGAATTCTCTGTAGCTGGATTTGCTGAAGCTCTTTTTTTTTTTTCAAATTTTTTTTTTTTTTTTTTTTAAGATTTATTTATTTATTTATACGAGCACTGGGTACAGTCAGAAGCGCGGGAGGGTGAGAGAATTCACCAGAGCCAGAGCAGGGAGCAGAGCAGGCAGAAGGACCGAAGCACACTGCTGAGGGGAGCAGCGGGTGGCAGGAGAGGTCTGCGCGCCATGTGGGACTCTCCTCCGGTGGCCGGGGAGCAGCCGGGGATTGAACCGGCGCTGCAGAGACTGCAGGCAGCCTCGCAACCCAGCGCTCAACCGCTGCGCCACCGGGGAGGCCCCAGATTTGCTGAAGCTCTTATGTGAGCTTTTTTCTCTTCTTTAAAAAATTTTTAAAAATAAATAAAAATCTGGACCTGACAACAGGAGTAGCAGTTTCCAGTATGTTGAAGTCCTCTGCTTCCGGGACCGCACCATGCAGGGCGTTAGAGACGTGGCTCACAGCATCATCTTCGAAGTGAAGCTTCCAGAAATGGCATTTAGCCCAGGTAATCTGCTGGTCTTTGAGAATGCATGTAATTATCACTTATCAGACACTGAATGGGTTTGACTTTTCTTTTATTCCTTCACAATGGCAGCAGCAGAAGGAGAAAGGGAGAACTCCTACTTCTCTGCCAGTGTGAACACCTCCCTTGGACAGAGGGCACTGCTGCTATTCACACAGGAACAAAGGCAAAGATTGTCCTCTGGAAACGTCTTCCAGGCAGTTTTCTCATTCTTGAGGATCTCCCCCTCCCCCACGGCTTTTGTTTTTGCTTAACCTAAAGTCCTTATTCCAGACTCTTAGGAATGAAGTGTTAATGCACTTACCTGTTTATTTCTTACCAGAAGTTGTGTGTGAGCCTGTCCTCCACACAGTAAACCAGCCAGCAGAAATGCCATTTCTCTTGATGCACACAGTGGTCTTCCTAGCCAGGGGTAGACACCAGCTGTTCTCCCCATTTCATAAGCTAGGCACTTAGGCTCACAGACCTAAGTCTGAGAGAGGCCTGTGTACACAGACACTAGGTTTATACTTCTCCACATGTCACAGACAGACACAGCCTCAAGTTTACTGCCTCAAGGAGGCCTCCTTGTGAGGAATCTGTGCAGAAGACAGAGGTAATGTCTGGCATACTGGCAGTGCCTAATAAATGTTCATTTTTGTGACTCTCAAGCTCATGCAAAGCCCAGCACTTTCCAAATGGTCCTTCAGATTCCTGGGGCCTTACAGTGTACGTCCACACATATCATTTCATTTGCTGCTTATGTTGTTCACCGTGTTCTGGGTACATCACTTGCTTTAACTCATGGGACTTGTGCCTTAAAGTGTGTGGGGGCAGGGAGTTAAAATCTCTTCAGACATGTCAATTCTAGAATGCAGAAGTCAAAAGGGTTCAGGGCTGCCTCTTAGGACATTTGTCAGCGATTCTTTGCCACAGCCCTGATCCACTTTTAGAAAGATGGACAGAGCACTCGGCTTGGCGAGGCAGAGGTGGAAGCTGATTATCTGTAGCTGAGAGCTTGAAGAAAGCTGTTGCTTTTCTGCTGTCTTTAGATATTTGCATTTGATTTAGCGCCCTCTTCTGGCACATTCTAAAATAGCTTCCATGTCACATTGACTTACAGTAACTTTGTTTTATTAAGCCATACTTGGAAATAGTTCTAGGGGGACGAGGTGAACAAGGAAGCAGTACGTTTGGTCAGCACCTGCCAGGCACCTTCCACACACAGTCCTTCCAGCCAGCCACTTTTGTTTCCTTTCTCATGAGAAAGCCTCTGAATCACCCTTACTCCTAATGTTAAGACTGATGTTAGGTGAAGCTGGCAAACCGGGAAAGGCTGTGCATTTCCATCCGAAAGACCCATAATGCCTCCATACATCTTTATGCTCAAAACTGAGAGCAGATGCTTTATTTTAGAAGACTCAAATTTTCCTGTAAATTTGTGTTTTCCTTCTTAGTTGGAAATAAAACTTGACAATAAAGAAAACTTTATAAAGAGTTATTCAAGTATTTTTCAGTATTTCTAAGACACTCCAGAGTTGCACTGGCAATGGCACAGAAAGTCTCACCTTAAATATCCTCTCTTCCTTTGTGCCACATGCACAGCCAGGCGCACTCTCCACTGCTGATGCAGAATGCCCCAGCAGCTGGCTGCTGGGACTGGGGAATCCCCTTTTCATTCGTGTCCTTGATTGTGCTTCCTATTTGCCCAACTCTGAGAATGCAGATATCATTTTCCCCTAGAAACTATTTTCTTATAAGTTAGAGGTATGGCTATGGACATAGGCTATATGGAGGCAGATGTGATATGATAAGTCAAATATCATGGTCATATATAGCATTTTTTTCATTAGTATGTTTTTTATCATTGACCATTTAGAAATAGCTGGAACATAATAAGTGCAGAGGTGTTTTAATTTGAAATATTTTTTTTTTGCTGTTAGATAAGCATTTTTTATTTAATGTAATGATAGTGGGGAAATCAAACAAAATATAAATTAGTAACAGGTCTGTACCTTTTTTTTCCTCAGAATGATAATTTTGAAGTTCTTAACCTCTTTAAGAACTCAAATCTATAATTTCAATTTTCATTTTTATGACATTACAAGAAAAGGAACACACCAAAGTCTCTGGTTGTTAAAAGAGAATGGGATCTGTGTTCTGGCTTCTTGCTATAATGCCCCAGCCAAATCAGAGGGTAGCTCGGAGGGTAGCTGGCCCTGTGGCTTCCATCAGCATCCTGTCCCAGCAAGAAGAGACCATAAGGGAGATCAGCAACTCCAGGACCTGTGATTATACTGAGCAATACGATTTCAAAAAAACAAAGGGCTGAAGCTGAGCGTTCCCAAGGAGAGGATACTGGAGGTGTTGCTAGAGATCTGAAAGCAGAATAGCTGAGGAGAAGCAGCGTGCAATTAGAAACAAACCAGATTCTTCCCCCATAGTCCTATGAGTCTAAACTCCGAGTCAAGGAGTATCTATTCTTTCAGAAACTGTCACTTAAAGCAGATGTTGGAGGTGATGCCAGAGGGGTAGGTTGTGCTGAGCAAGTTCCCTGCTAAGAAACACAGGCTTTGTTTGGTGATTCAGTGAGGAAGGGAGCGTGACAGAGCTCCTGAGTATGGGAGAAAGACAAACAGCGGTGGCCCCATCTCAGGATTGTTTCCATCAAGGAAGCCAAGTTTCCACTAAGGTTAGGTAGTAGGAGTATTCTAGAAAGGCTTTGTGGTTTTTCAAGAGGATTTCCACAGCAGCAGAATAGAGCAGCTTGCATATGTCCCATAAGATTTTAATGGTGTTATGGGGTGAGGGAGAGAGATACAGAGGGCCGGAGAAGTTTGGGAAACTGAAAACCAAATTAGATGAAGTGATTCCCTTACCTTCTTGGAGCCTGGGTCTCCCTTGTGGGCAATGTGAATCCCTGGGGTGGGGGCTGGGGGGTAGATGCAAGTAGAAAAGCCCTTCCCAAGTCCAGCGGCCACGGGTCCTTACCCTCTTGGGGTGTCGCAGGTACATGCTGGCAACCGCTGGGGTTGCCACTCAAGGCTCCCACAGCAGAGGATCAGGAGGTCAGCAGAGAAGGGATAGTGGGGAGGCAGGAAGCCTGGATGGTTACAGATGGATCTGTCCCCAGGTAGGTGACAGGCTGCGCAGAGGGACAATGGAAGGATGAGGAACACAAGGGACAGACAAACACAGAGGTTCAGATCCCAGGGGAACTTCAGCAGAACGTGTGTGCAGTCACACCAGTTTGTCTTCCTCAGCTTGGGCGCCTCCAGGGACTGACCCCTCCCCTACATGCGTTTGGCTTTAGAGCCATTTCCAGTCACCACAGCTGCTCAGGCCAGAGTCAGGAGCTACCTCAGAAGCCCTTCCACTGTGAGGGCTCTGAAATATAGGTGTGTAAAGATTCTCAGTAGCTGAGGATGATGGGCAGGGACTGGGGCAGACAGATCCAGGCCCTGAACCTCTTGGAGAAGGATGTGAAATAAGAGCTTGTGGGTGCAAAGGCCAGCTTGCTGCTTGGCCCACTGGAATTTACCCTTCCCTCCCTCATGACACTTACTGTTCCTTTTGTTTGCCTTAAGATTGTCCCAAAGCGGTCGGTTGGGAAAAGAATCAGAAAGGAGGCATGGGACCGAGGATGGTGAACCTCAGCGAGTGCATGGACCCTAAAAGGTAGATTTTGGAAGCTGCTTCTTCCCATGGGCTTTTTGTAACCAGGACGCACATGGGTGTCAGGCCAACTGCACGTCTCACTTCGATCCATGGGTGCCAATCACGTGATAGCAAGGGCTACCCCACTCTCTGCTGCCTCTTAATTTGAAGTTTGGCGGTGAGAATTAATACTGATGGTGGAGATCCCACAGGGCACCCAGGCCATCTGTCCCTCCAGACATCCCAAATTTTGTTATCTCTCACTTAGACTCTCAGACCCATGTATCAATGTCACCTTTATTCCTTTATTCATCACACTTTAATTTTGTCCTGTTAGCCAACACTGAAGAAATATTTCGTGGATACCAGCATTGCACTTGGGGGAGGACATTAAGTGTACCCCTCATTGAGAACACATGGAAGAAACTTCTCTTTTCAGTGTCAGGAAAAGCTTAATATGTTTTTATTCCTGGACATCACAACTCCTACACCTGCTTCCCTCCCCGCTTGGCTGCTGGCTCAGCGTGGACTCTCTGGCCTTCACTGGCCATACCAGGGGTGGGAGGGTGTGCGTGCTGAGTCCTTCCTCCCGCCTGTTACCCGCACGCCTCATTCTTCCTTTGGTCCTGATTTCCTTAGTATTTGTTTCTTGTTTTCTTGTACAGCTACTCTCCATCTAAAACACAACAAGATTGGGATGTAAATGAGTAACTGGCTGAATAAATAAATACTTCTCTCATTTTCTAGGTTAGCTGAGTCATCAGTGGATCTAAATCTCAAACTGATGTGTTGGAGGTTGGTCCCCACTTTGGACTTAGACAAGGTCGTGTCCGTAAAGTGTCTGCTGCTCGGAGCCGGCACCCTAGGCTGTAATGTAGCCCGGACCCTGATGGTGAGTGTGTGAGACTGAGGGGCTCTGAAGCTGTGACTTCTCGTTCTAGTGCCCTGCTCTCCCTCCTTCCCTCCTCTCTCTCTCTCTTTTTTTTTTCTCAGTAGCTTTTTAATTATAAAAGGAATCCATGCTTTTGTAATGTAGAGATAGACGGTTGCCCCCACTACCACCCCCACCCCAAGTCTCCCACTTCCCAGTATTAAGCAGACATCATAGATGAGTCTTCAGTCTCTTTCCCTCAAGTATTTCCTAGGATGTATAAGTAGAGATATTTGTGATCTTTGCTGTTATTTATTTGTATTGGATTATAGCATACTTTCTATAACAGGTTTATACTTTTAACTTAATAGATAATTGTGGCTCATTTTCTGGGTGTTCCATATTATTTATATATAACATTTTGTCATATGACTGTGTCCTCAATTTATATCATCAATTTCAGGATATTTTTCTTTTAGAGGTGCTGTTGAAATGAACATTCTTGTACTTAGACCTACATATCTATGGGATTATTTCTTTAGGGAAAAAAGCCTAGACATGTAATTACTGTTAGAGTGTGCAGTATCAATATGTATTTCTTCAAACTAAATTACCTTCTGAAAATATCCTAGAAACATGTGAGAAGCAGACTTTTTAATTTTGTATTTCTTTAGTTAATAAGAATGTCCTTAATTTTATTTCTTAATTTATTCTATTTGTGTCCTTTGGGTTGTATTTCTTTTATTGATTTGGAGCTCTTTTTATAATGGGTATTCACCTTCCTTCTGTGATGTGATGCAAATATTTTCTCTATTTCAGTTATCTTTATATACAGTGTTTTAAAAATTTGTTATTAAATGTCAGTCTTTTCCTTTATAGTTTATAGAACTCTTATTTTTGTGTTTATTTTTTATCAATGTGGACTTTAATTTTGTTTAAGGTGAGAGATAAAGACCTACCTTCTTTTGCACAAAGTGGATAGTCATTAGTTTTAATGGCAATTGTTCAGTAAACCATCGTTTGTCCATCTTTTTTCAATATTAAATTCTCTTGTATACCTAAGTCTCTCTATGGATTCTGTCCTTTGTTCCGTTCCTTTACCCGTACAGATTCCTACTCAGTTTTAATTGAAATGACACTGAATTTATAGATAACTTAGAGGGGCAGACATCAGTTCTGGAAGTACTGTACATCCCTTAGATTAGTGAGGTTGCCTTTGTCTTTCAGCAGCATTTTTCCGTATAGGTCTTGCACATGCCTTATTTAGTTTATTTGTACATATTTAACAATGTTTATTTCTTTTAAGGATTCTTTCTCACGCTAAATTTTCCACTTCAATTTTACTAGGGTATAGGAAAGGTAGTGGGTCTTAAATGTTTATCTTTCACTTGGCCATCTTTTTAAGCTTTCCTAGCTATAATAGTTTCTCACTTGGTTCTTTAGGGTTAGGGGGGGTTGATAAGGATGCCTTGCCAGTGTTTCTACCTCCCTTTCTTTTCCTGGTCTTCCAGGATTGATAAAGGCTCCTTAGTGTTAAGGAATAGCAGTGAGAACTAGTATCCTGGTTTTGTTACTGATTTTAGTAAGAAACTTTTGTTTTTACCTTTATTTTTGAGGTGATACTGGTTTTCTGCTAAGTTAAGGAAGCTGACTTCTGTTTCTACTTTACTGTGAGTTTATATCAGAAATGACCATTGAGCTTTATCAAATACCAGTTATCAAAATTATTGAAGTATCCTAAATATCCTTCTGCGAATAAGCCCTACTTCTTCATGGTATCTTAGTCTTCTGACATACTATGAAATGCCCTTGGTGATGTTTTATCTGTAATTCTTACATCTGTATTCATAAGTTAAGCTGGTCTGTTGCAATTTTTTCTTTGTGGTGTTTTTCTATCTTTGGCTCTGATTCATTGTACCTCTATGAAATACACTTTAAACTTTTGCCTTTATCTGAGCTCCAGAACAGTTTAAATGGATGGCTTATGTTCCTTGATTGCTAAAATTCAGTTGTAAATCCAGCAGAGCCTGGTGCCTTTCGGAATTTTGGTGGTGGTGGGAGGCAAAGAACCTTGGAAGGTTTTGCAAAGGATTCTATCTTAATTGGCTGTTTTAGATTTTATACTGCTTTTGAGTTAGTTTAGTCATTTTGTTTTCCTAGAAAATCATTCATTTCATCTAAATTTAAGAGTTAATTGGGCCTTCCCTGGTGGCGCAGCGGTTGAGCACTGGACTGTGAAGCTGCCCGCAGCCTCTGCAGCGCTGGTTTGATCCCCGGCCACCGGTGAGGGTCCCAGGGTCCCACATGGTGCGCAGACCTCTCCTGCCGCCCGCTGCTCCCCTCAGCAGTGTACTTTGGTCCTTCTGCCTGTTCTGTTCCCCGCTCTGGCTCTGGTGAATTCTCTCACCCTCCCGTGCTTCTGACTATACCCAGTGCTTGTATAAATAAATAAATAAATCTTAAATAAATAAATAAATAAATTTAAGAGTTAATTGACATACATCCGGTATCCTCTTACCTTTTTAAATTTTCTCTTTATCTTCGTTTTGATCTTTCCACATTTCTAATGTTGTGTGTATATATGTTTTCTCTTTTTTTTTCCTCTTAGTCAGACTTGCCAGAGTGCCTTGTCTGTTTTATCAATCTTTTTTAGAGAACTAAATCCTTCATTCATTTATTAGTTGTGTGCTTTATTTGTTTTGCTTTCAGATTAGTTAATATCTACTTTTATCTTTATTGTTTTTTCCCTCTTATGGGATATATTGTTCTTTATCTAGCTTCTGAAGTAGGTGCTTAAAGACTCTTGACATGTTTTACAATTGTAAAATCACTGTGGACCCATTGTAGAAAATTTGTAAATGTGTAAGAGTTGTAAAGCAGGAAAAGGATACACCCATTTCCTATCACTTGTTCACTTCCTTTCAGTGTTCAGTATGCGTTTTCAAATTGTTTTGATATATAATAATGTCCCTGCTTTTATCAATTAACATTGTAAATACTTTTTCTTGTCATTAAAAATGCTGCTGATAAAGCCTTTTTAATGGCTGGGACTAGGCCTTCCTTTATTATGAAACATCCTTTCCTGAGACCTTCCCGCACTGTGGGACCTTGTTTCCAGTTTTTCACAACCACACATCTTGCTGCAGAGACCATGTTGGGATTGCATCTTTGTCAATATTTCAGATTCTTTCCTAGGATGGATTGCTGGAAGTAAGTCAAAGGATATCAGCTTGTAAAAAATTCTAGAAACATATTGCCAAATTGCCTCCCAGAAAAGTTATACCAGTTTACATTCATAACCAGTAATATCGTTTTTTCACTACCACATCCTCACCAGCATTGAGTGTTGTAATCTTCTTTACTCTTTGCAGATTAGCCATTTAAACTGTGTAGCTTCCAGGAAGCTTAAAGCTAAGTGTGACAGCCCCTCTGCCTGTGGTTACCCTAAGGCATGTCTATAACCCTGCTGGCTTTCCACAGCTGCCTGGCATGTTCCCAGACTGCCCTCCTTCCTAACCACTCAGCACTGCTTTAAGGAATGCAGAAATACTTCAGAAATAAATACCCCGAATCAAGTGACATTTGGATTTTTTGCACCTTTACTCCCCATTGGTGTCAGTTGAGTGTAAGAAGTAACTTATAGTAAAGAGCTGAGCTTCAGAACAGCCTGCTGATCTAAACCATGCTTTCTGAAGGAGTGGGTTTTGGCCTGTTGTGCTCAGCCCTGTAAACAGACATGAAGCCACCAGTCTTATCAGTCTCTAATGGAAGGACAATGAAATAAGAAAGAAAGCAGGATCTTAGTTTTGTAGCTGATCTTGGCAGGACTTCTAGATCACTATGCTCTAGTGAAATACATACACCCCTTCTCCCCCACCAGAAGGCATCTTCATTCGGTTGCAACTCTGGAGTTCCATGCCCTCCCTACCATTAACCAGTTTCTGAGTCACTTATCTTTTCTGAACTTCTATTTTCTTGTCTACAAAAGATAGTAATTTGGACTAAGGATTTTAGAGAGCCTGTCAATGTTTAAATTGCATGGTTCTTTAAGACTCCAGGTGATGTAACTGAAGTGTATGAAAACTGTTGCCGATACTATAGAATTGTCCCCTACATTCTAGGTAATTAATAGGTTTTAGCCTCTTAGAAAAATGGTACCAAATGGACAATGCTATATAGTGGGAAATAACTTGTTAATCATTTTCTAAGGAGTGAATTCAGACTTCAAGGGAGCTTTAGGATGAGCTTTTATTTGTGTTTAATTATTCAGTGAGGAAAAACAAGGACTGTTGGGGCAATCGCTCATTCTTTCAAGTCAGCAGCATATGCAATTCTTCTGGGACTCACCTCCACATCTCTCTCTGGCGCCACTGTCAAAAATAATGAATTATTTAGTCAGGCCCACTCTGACATTTCTTCGTCTCTTTACTGCAGGAAACCTGGTTCTGGGTACATAATTACTTTGTCTTTTAAAGGAAGTTGACACTCTGTTTATCAAAAACAGAGTTTGCACAATTCGGTTTCTGGAGTTTCCTATAGCTTGAGGCTCACAAGCTGCTCCAAAGCCAAAATTTCTAGGGATTTCAAGAGAGATGCCCTGGGAAACATTCATCAGAAACACACCATGATCTCCATTTTTTTGCAGGGCTGGGGCGTCAGACACATCACTTTTGTGGACAATGCCAAGATCTCCTACTCCAATCCTGTGAGGCAGCCTCTCTATGAATTTGAAGATTGCCTTGCAGGTGGGAAGCCCAAGGCGCTGGCTGCAGCAGAACGGCTTCAGAAAATATTCCCTGGAGTGGTAGGTTGCTGCCGCCTGGGAGTGTTAGGTTTTCTTCTCTCTTTGAATGTATAAGTCTTGGGCAGTGCAGCGCCATGGGGCCAGTAAAAGAGTCTTGCCACAGGCTCTCCTCACGACGTTGAACTTCACTTTCCATATTTTCTTATCTCGGAAATAGGTATTCAAAACCAAATCTCACACGATACTCTGAAAATGAAATGAAGACTATGGAAAAAAATGTCAATAGCAAAGCACTATCTTGAGTTTAAGGAATTTGGAATTTAAGGAATTTGGAGTTTAAGGAATACATATTTTTATATTCTGCCTTGTTCACAAGGATGCATGGTGACTCAGATGTAGATGATTTTTCCTACATCACAGGAATACTTGATGGTGACTTAGTACAGGTTTATGAAATTAAATTGATTGTCAGTCTGTGCAGTAGAAAGATCTGGCTAAAGGTTTAACTTAATATTCTGGCTGCTGCTGATTTTTGAGTTGCATCACTTACTTTAAAAAGACCAGATAATAAGAGTCAAGTCATTCAGCTCATTTGATTCAAAATCTTGCCAGTTTTTTTGAGGTCAGCCTGGAAAGAGATTTTACATCTTGCATGCTTAATCAATTTCTCTGACAGAGGTTAAATTAGGTGTCTCCAAAGCATCTGCTTATACTTAAGTGCCACAAGAGGTTCTCAGCCCTAGCAAAAAAAAAACAAAACAAAAAACCAACAACTTTCTTAAAGTTTCTCCTTTTAATTGCCCAGTATTTATTAGAGTCATTCATTTTAGAAGTCTTTGCTTTAGATGCAACTTTAATGGTTTGTCCATTTTCCCAATGTAGCTGAAGAATATCATTTATTAGGTTTAACTGATAACCCCCTTGTACCTAGCTAGGTGCTGAAAGTCAAAAGAAATAAGAATAAGCTACAACTCTGTCATTGGAAGGCACATCAGTTAGGTTACGTCTGCAACAGTGTTGCATGTCCCCTGAGCCCAGCATCTCTATGGCTGACAGGGCAAGCATCTTTCCCACTCATGGGCCTTCAGGTTGGCTGTGGTTTAGCTGTTGGGCTAGTCTGGGCTCCAGGCAGCCTAGGCCACTCCACATCAGGCCCAGTCTGTTTTATATGTTATTATTTCAAAATGTAGGCTCAACGAACAATAGTCATCAGGATCCTGCCCTTCCTATGGTAGCAGGAGGAAAGTAAAGAGTTGGTGAAAACTTACATCTTTTAAAGTCTCAGCTCAACAGTGGCACAGGGCCAGGTCCTCCATCTCCATTGCCAAAGCAAGTCACAGGGCCAAGCCCAAAGTCAGTGGGAGGGTCAGGATACTCTGCCTTCTCTGCGGAAGGTCCTCCCAAGTCATGGCAAAGCACAGACACAGAATTCTAGTAGAAGAAAGCAGAACCTGGTTGGGAAGGCTGCTTATCAGTTGCCTGAGATTTTTGTTTGCCCGAGTCCTAGCTGCTACCTATGACTTAGTATGATTCCCCTTATTTATTGTTCAGTTGCTCTGTTACTTACTCATTCGTCAGATGTTTATTTAAGTCCTTCTGTGTGCTAGAGACTGGGGAGCAAGACAGAGAGAGCTCCCTCTTCCCGACGGAGACCTTTTGTCCTAGTGGGGCACCTAGTCTCAGTAAGTGACCTCACGAAGAATGATCACTACAGTGCGTGCAGGAAGCAGGAGCTCAGTTGCCTTGAGAATGTATAGCAGGCCATCCTCATCCAGACTAGACTTCCTTGAGGAAGTTGGGTCCAGAGGAGAGTGGGAGTTTGCTAGACTAAGGGTGGCAGAGTTTTCTGTGCAAACATCTGAGGTGCTTCTGTAAACTAAAGAAAAACCAGGGTGATTAAAGTATGGAGGTCAAAGAGGGCAGATAAGAGACCAGGGCCAAATCGCCCTGGCTTTGGAAATCAAATTCAACTTTCAAGACAAGAAACCATCAGCCTACTAGGCTTGCACCTCTTCCTCAGTACTTATGTCAGGTTGTCTGTTTTTCCCTATTGGATCAATAGGCCCTGGCAGCCAGGAGCCAGGCCTCCTGATACTTTTTTCCTTCCTGTCTTGTAAATAATAATAATCTATGGGACCCATTAAAGTACTAATATGATTCATCCAATTCTGAGAAGTACTTGTGTAGCTATTTCACTTACCGGTTAGGTAGGCTTACAGGGTCTTTCTATGCCTAATTTAGTATTTTTTCATCACCTTCCTTAGATCAGGCTGTGGACAAAAGGCTGTTCCTAAGTGAACAAGATACAAGAAGAACTGCCCAGCCACAGGCCTCATGCCTAGTCCTGGGCTTGAAATCATTGAGTAGGAAACAAACTGACCTTTTAGAAGTAGCTTTTTGAGCTTTTTTTCCCCAAAGGTGAGACACTAAAATGTAGGAAGTGACACTGAAAATTTTAAAACGTGACTTTGGATGTCTTCTTCCAAGCCTGATGAGTTGGGAATTGATACTGGACTAGCTCTCTGGTCAAAAATAGCTAAGACACGTGGGTAAAATACATTCAGACAGAGAACAATGCGCAGTGAGAGACTAGACCCAGGCAGAAGGGAAAGGCATAGTGAGTTTCCATCCCAACTTATTGCACAGAGGCACTGTCTGGCCATGCCAGGTCCTGGGAAGCCTTTCTTGTCTTGATGAGCTGAGGAAATCGAGATGAGAGTTCAGAGCAGCTGAGGTGATGAAATTTGCAGGACAGAGTACAGGCATGCAGGAGCTGTGCAGAGAAGGCGTTCCAGAAAACCATCCAGGCAGCACGTAGTCTTTAACCAAATAGCAAACTGTGCTCACTCAGGGTGTGACTCTGTAGTGGAGAAGCACCACCAGCCCGCTGTGAGCAGAAGGAGATTCCAGAACTCCCTCAAGGCTGGGAGACATTGGAGCCCCAACTCTCCAGAAGAGGGAGACCTCATTGAATATGCTCAGCTGACACCCTGGAAAGACCATAAAACTACACATAAAAGCTAAAACTGTAGAGCGAGCAGAAAGCAGCTTGGCAGTGGTGTGATAGGAGATGGTTTCTTAGGAGCCAAGGAAGACTGATCATAAGTAAAAACACAAATAACTTGGACTTCATCAAAACTTTAAATTTTTGCTTCTCAAAAGATACTTAAGAGAAAGAAAAGACTGGCCAAAGCAGAAGTTAGTCAGAATGTAAATTTGGTGACATCAAATTACTTATATAATAGTTTTTTGGATCAAGCTACCACATTTAAAATACTTTGTCAGTTGTAATAAGACAGGAAGGTACTGTTGCTATGACTTCCTTGGTCATTGTTTGTCTTATTGTTGATTACAGTATTTGGTGCATGGTAGACACAGTGCACCTAGTAAATGAATGAATGAATGAATGAATGGGTGGATGAATGAATGGATGAGGTGTTGTTAAAGTGGACTTGCTTTGAACTTTCTTTCTGAAGTGCTTTCTGCCTGGCTTCCCCTCCTGCTTTGCTTGCAAGGTTTTTTTTTTTTTTGGGGGGGGGCAAGGGGTTGTTATTTTGGAAATTGTTTCAATTATTACTGTTGTCCCTTTCTTGAATTTCAGAGATTAGGTGTGAAATTAGAGAAGAGGTGAAAATAGCTACATTTTTCAAACAGGTTTTAAGGAAAACCTATTTGAGAAAACCATATATGAGAACCTACTTGCCATAACCCCATGAGCTACTTTTCCCATAGGGAGGGGTTCTGGCAAATGAATGAGAAAGTTGATGCTTTCAGACCTTTCCCTGTGGCCAGTATGCTGTGGAGAAGATTAAAGAGATAGTTTGAGATTCTAGAACACTGTCTTTTCTGTGGAAAGTTAATGTCCTGGCCTAGTAGCACCATTATGTGACTGGCTGTTAATCTGCTGAGACACAAGTGTGAGTGGTAAATGACAGAACTGTTTTAGAGCCTAAAAAAACAGAGTCCCCACCTAGAAGCACACCCAGGCTAGTGAACGGTTTCTACAGCTAGACCAGGGATGAAGCTTCATGTCACTCTCTGCTATCCCCCATCCTTACCGCCTCTCCCCCCTCCCCAAATACCTATGTACTCCTAATTGAAAGTAAGAAGAGTGTTTTCAGTTTTGACAATTTAAAAAATGCATATACCCCTAAGAACATTAAAGCAAAACTATTGGTCATTTTAATCTTAAGGGAATTTATTAAATCAAATTATGTTTGTTGTAACACCTCATTTGGAGGTGCCACATGCAGGGGGAATGGACGGGAGAGCAGCTTGGAACAAGTAGGGAGAGACCGCCTAGCAGGATCCAGGGACTTAGGCAGGCTTTGGCGTTTTGATGAAGTTTCTTGGCTTCAAATTGTAGGAAAGAGCCAAAGACACAGTTTTTCCAGTGTTCTTGCATCATTGGAAAGGCCCCTTCTTACCCAAATGGGAACTGGGATCCTTATGTCTCTGCTTGCTGCTTTGTCCAGCAGCCACAGGGACCCTGGGGGACAGGCAAAGTGGTCTAGGATGCAGAGGTGAACAAGGTGAAAGGGCACAGATAGCAAGAGGAAAAAGCAGCCTAATATGGCTCAGAGAAATTTTGGTTACAAGTGATCATACCAAAAGGCCTGTGGTTATGGGGAGACACAGGCTCCAAGATCCCACCTCTGCTTTTAGTTCAGACATACACACTTGTGGGTATTGCCCTAGAATGCCAGAGGGTTCAACATGAGCATCCCCATGCCCGGACACCCAGTGAACTTCTCCAGTGTCACCCTGGAGCAAGCCCGCAGGGACGTGGAGCAGCTGGAGCAGCTGATCGAAAGTCATGACGTCGTCTTTCTGCTGATGGACACCCGGGAGAGCCGGTGGCTGCCTGCTGTCATTGCTGCCAGCAAGAGAAAGGTAGAGTGTGGGTCCTGGGGCCGTGTCCCCAGTCTGCCCTCCCTCCAGAAAGTGCTGCCTGTGTGGCCTGGTGACTCAGAGCCCAGGGTCTCACTGCAGACTCTCTTAGCCTCACACACCATCACCCACAAACTCATGGTCCTCTGCTGGGCCTTCCTGACACCCCTCAAGGTACCCTGTACTAGAAAGGGAACTCTACTGATGTCATGTCAACTCCGGGAGGTCAAAGACTGTGGTATTCACTATTGTTTGGTCAGTGACAAATCAAGGACCGAATGTATTGAAAGGTTAAATAAATGATGGCATGACTATGCATGGTTCTATTTTCTAGGAATTTTAATAACATAGAAAGTACCACATTATGTTAAATAAGCAAAAGATAAATATTGTATATACTGTATGTGTTTATTATATATGTGCAAGTGAATGGATGTATTGTATGTACTATATATTAATTTTGGTAGCATATAAGCATATACATGTAAATGTTTATATCTTTTTATATAAACAGAGAAAGAGTAAGAAGAAGGGAGAAAGGGAGGGAGGGAATGGGAGAGAAAAGGAGAAAATAAGAAGAAGAAACACCCCAAAACATCTCAAAAAAGTAATTTTTTGAGCTATGAGGTTGTAAGTGATTTGTGTTTCTTTTAGTAGCCTTTTTTTTTTTTCACCTTCCAGCTTTCTGTATAAGAAATTTGGAAGAATAAATTAAGTTACAATTAGTAGATATTCTTATAAATGAAAAAAAGTCCTTGGAAATCGTGTGGTGTGTGAATTCTATAGCAATAAAACTGTGATTTAAAAAAAAATCTATCTGAACTTGACAGACAATAACATGATAGCAGGAAGAATGGGTTTGAGGACTATTGAGATTTGATTTTCTACACCTAATCCATGCCAGCTAAGTGGCCTGGAGCAAGTTGTAGAAGTAACCTCTCTGATATTCAGTATCCTCTTCTGTAAATGGAAAATGTTTTTTGGAGTTTTCAATGAAGCTAAACAAGAAGTAAAGAAAATGTATGTCAGTCACCTACCAAGTCTTTTGTACTTAAGCCCCTGTTTCGGGTAGCTTTTACCAACATTGGCTTCTAGAAACTAAGTATGCTTACATGCAGATATTTGTAAGAATAAATTTTAAGGGCAAACCAAATTTTAAGAGCAAATCAAATAGCCATGGTTTGAAACATTAGTGTTCTCAGTGCTCTTCTTTTATTCTTTGACACCCACAGCTGGTCATCAACGCTGCCTTGGGCTTTGATACCTTTGTGGTCATGAGACATGGTCTGAAGAAACCTAAGCAGCAGGAGGCTGGGGACTTGTGCTCCAACCACCCCGCGGCACCCTCTGACCTTCTGGGCTCATCGCTTTTTGCCAACATCCCTGGCTACAAGCTTGGCTGCTATTTCTGCAATGATGTGGTGGCTCCAGGAGATGTAAGTGGGCTTCTCTGTGGCTCCTCGGTATTGCCCACGACTGTCCTGCCCACCGAGCAGGGAGACCTAGCTCTTTCCTTTATGACTGTTTAAACATTGTCTTTTAACAAGAGAAGAATTCTCCAGGCTTGGGCATGGCATCAACCTCTGATGATGCCTTGATGGGCATCAACGCATCAACGGTGTAGAGCTCTTCCCAGTTCATCAATATAAATGCAGCAACAAATCACTTTTGCGGAAAGCTCAGCAAGGAAACTTCAGGGTAGACTGGCGTTGGTGATGCCAGCCAGGTCTCAGGCTCCCTGTGCGTCCGTAGAATGGGGCTGGGGCACACAGGGCTGCCAGATTCAGTAAGTGGAATGCAGGGTTCCCAGTTAACTTGAACTTCAGGTCAATGGTGTATACTGTGTTAGTATAAATATTTGAGATCTACTTAATAATAAAAAATTATTCATTGTTTATCTACAATTCAGATTAAACAGGGCGTCTTGTATTTTATCTGCAAGCCCCAGTAGGGAGGGAGGATACTTTCACAGTGCAAGTAAGTCAGACACGAGTTGTCCAGGATAGCCAGCCTGCCACTGTTCAGACATGGGATTCTGTAGTGTGGACGCCACCTTAAAGGCAGTCTGCAGGAATAGTCTTTATCAAGACAGACGTCCATGTCTTGTGAAGCCAAGCAGAAGTATTTCTGTACCGGCCTCTCCATTTACTGCTTTTAAGACTTGCTCCTTAATAATTCAGTTTCAATTGGATGACTGGCTTGGATGTCCTCCCAGTATAAAGAAAAATAAGCACTCTTTTCTGTGAAGAGGGATGGCTTTATAATCTCCATGACAGTGTTTTAATATTTAGCTGGCCCTGTTATTTCATTATCACCGACAAAGTGGCAGTGAAGTCACATCTGTTCATAAAGTGAAATTTTCAGAGTGAAAATTATCCCCTACAGCCCCTTAATTTTCCCAGAGTTAGAAGATTAGAATTTCTTCTGTTGAACTAATGAAGGCTCATGTTTGGAGCCACAATGTAGCAAAAATACTTGTATCGAGCTCTGGGCTCACACTTAGAGTGATGGGAGGTTCATAGGACAAGAGTCTGCAGGAATGGCAAGTGATCTTTCCCACCCACAAGCTCTCTGGGCGTTTGGTTTGAATGGCAGACAGACTCATTCATGCTCTTCAAATGGCTCTTCCTCTCTGGGTCTCTAGGTCTCAGCCACCAAGTTCTACAGGGTTGAACTGAGTGAATTAAGGGAGCACATGGTACATCTCCACCAAATAGGGCAACTGGATGCTCATTTTAGGGTGCTGTCACCTGGTCTTCAAATTGTCTATAGCTCCTAGTCCTAGATTTAGCACATTACCTCACAAAGGTAGCTGAATTGTACATTTTGGTTTGTTGGTTTTCCCAAGAAATGGTGTTGTTTGCCAACACAGAACACCTGGTTGCATGAAAGAGCAGAAGTTTCGGGCCTTGCAGCTTGTAGGGGGTGGTGCAGGACTTCGGGCACACCTCAGCAGTTGTTTCTCTGTAGTCCACTAGAGACCGAACCTTAGACCAGCAGTGCACTGTGAGCCGCCCAGGACTGGCCATGATCGCAGGGGCCTTGGCAGTGGAATTGATGGTTTCCGTTTTGCAGCATCCAGAAGGGTAAGTTTGCTAATTAATTAGACTTTTAAACAAAGGAACCCTTTCTGACTCCTGTGGCCTTTTCTTAGTCTGACTCTTCTGAGCATTGTTTTGTTCTTTCTACCCTCCAAACAAGAAGTCCGGTCTGATTCTTTGGCCTGGGAGAATACATCATGTGATATAAGGGACTACTCTGCATCCTTCTGGAACCCAACTCTCGTGGAGTCACCTGATAACTGATGAAAAGAAAGAATAAAAATATTAGTAGAGGCCTTAGAATGTTCATGATTTCATTCCAGTAGTACGTTTGGATCCTCTTAGCTCTGAACATCAGTAAGGCAATCCTGAGTCACATAACAGAAGTTACATTTGGCAGTAAGTAACAGAGCTCTATCTTCAGTGACGTAGTCAAATGGTGCTTTATTTTTCTTATGCGGCAAAAATTCAGAGTCAGGCAGCCCTGGATGGTACAAAGGCTCTGTTATGCCATCAGGGTCTTTTGCACTCAAGCACACTCATCTTCCTTATGCTGGTCACCTGTGGTCACAAGATGACCATCCTCGTTTAACATTGCTTCTGTGTTACAGTTCAAAAAACGCAAATGACTGTGCTCAACTGAGGCCACCCCCTGGGATGCACTTTCTTAGAAAATTCACCCCTGGTTAGCTCCTATATCACATGGCTGCTCTTAGCTGTAAAACAAATGCAGTTTGGGCTGGCACCTTGCCTCTCTGTGACAGAATAAGTGGAGAATGGACAACGGGTAGGCAATCAGTAGTATCTGCACACTCATTTTTAAAAAGTCTGTGTATATTTTAAATCCCAGTAGACATCATAATTGTCATATAGCTGATATTCGGTTTTGCTAATAATTTCCTTTCTGTTACTTTTCATTTCTTTCTATATCTTCAAGCTTCTGGTCAAGGACATTTTCCTTCTGCCTGAAGAATTCGTTTTTTTATTTCCTTTAGAAATGTTAAATAGTGGCAAATGAGTTTCAGCTTTTGGTTATTTGGAAATGTCTTTGTTTTAACCTTGTGTTTGGAAGATGTTTTCACTGTCTATAGAATTCGAGCTTGGTGGTAATTTTCATTTATATGAAGTGTATAATCCTTTTGTCTTTGGCTGCCTTTATCTTTGCTGTGGGGTTGGGGACTTATTGTTTCCTTTGATATGATTTGTTTTTCTCTTTCTCCTTTCCCCCCAGTCACTTTTAAGATTTTCTCATTGTCATTGGGTTTCAGAAGTTGGACTATGATATATACCTACTACTTTCTTTACTCTGACTGTACTTTTTAGTTCTTCTTGCATCCATGGCTTGATGTTTTTCCTCTGTTGTGGGAAGTTCAGTCATTATCTATTAAAATATGCTTCTTCCCCTTTCTCTCATGTGTCTTTCCTTTTAAGACTTGGTCCAATGCAGCCTATGCTCTTTTCTGTGTTTTCTGTCATTTGATCTTTCATTGTTTTGACATGGCTTATCTTCCAGTTGGTTAATTCTCTTTTCTGCTGTGTCTAATGTGTATTAAACCCATCCATTGAGTTTTTAATTTCATTATTGAATGTTTCAGTTCTAGATTTCCATTTGATCTTGTTTTACCATATATCCTGTTTGCTGCTAAAATTCAGATTTTGTTCTTTTTCATTCCTTTCATCTTTTAAGACCTTATCAGATATCTGTCTCCATTATCTGAATTTTTATGAGTCTGTTCCTATTGTTTTTCATGGCTTTTTGTTATTCTTTTAATCTCCTCATGTATATGGGGTGTGTGTGTGTGTGTGTTTTTAAACAAAATACAATATTTCTATTATGGAAAATTCAAACATATATGAAAGAAGAGATATGTAAAATAAAACCCTTACCCATGTATACTCTACCACTCAGCTTCAGAAATTATCAACACTAATCATCATTTATCAATGCTACTATCCATGTTTTTTCTCCTCCCACTGGCTATTATTAAACAAATGCTAAAGACATAGCATTTCATTCATAAAAAGTATCTCTTTCATTTGTATCTACTGTTTTTACCTATAAGAACCAGTTGAAAGCAATTCTTTAATATCATCACATATAGTAATTAATATTACATCTCACCAATTCTTTGAATCTCTTTCATGCTATGTGATTTGTCAAGCACCTACATAGTGCCTGCTTTGTGCCAGGCACTGTGCCATGTGCTCTACATGTGGTAGACTCGTTTGCTCCTCATAGCAAACATATTAAGAAAGAACTGTCATCCCCACCCTCCCCCCGCCATTTGTGGGGAAACTGAGATGGAGGGTCAGTAAGTTGCTGGCGTGCACAGAGCTGCTAAGTGGCAACACTGGGATTTGGCTCATCCAGTTTGCCTCCAAGCTCTGTTTTGAATCCCTCTGCTGTGCTGATTGTAACACAGGCAAAAGAGGATTGAATTTTGAAAGATTTATTCTCCCAATTCTCAGAAATGAACATGAATATTTACTTGTCGAGTGATTCAGGGCCTCTGCTGCATTTGTACTAGTGTCAATGCCCCGGAAAGCAGTCCTTTACCTTCCTCTATTCTGTCCCCACTTGTGTCCCTGCCATTGAATGGCTTGTGGCTTCCTGACAGGAAGCATTTTGGGGTCACATCTGGAGAGCCCATGGAGTTGTTCCTCGACCCTGACCCTCTGTGGACCCGCTCAGGTTCACACCAGGTCCTGCCTCTGTCTGTCTGTGATGCAGTGAGCATCACACTGCTCTCCGGGGGCAGTTCCTCTGTCTCCCAGTGAACCCTTCACTTATATTTCTCCTTCCTCCATTTTGGTAGCGTTGACATCCCCTCCGGGAGTGAGGTTTAAAGAGTTCTCCATGTCACGATTTCGTGCTGTGGCATTCTATAAAAATGTGCCCTGGGAGTTAACATCTGTGGGCTTCCTGGTGCCCAGCTCTGCACTTGGTACTTTCTCTCACTTGCTTCTGACTGTCCTCACAACTGTCTATTCCTGTTTTGTAGAGGATGGAACTGACACTCAGGGCAGCTGGGTCGGGGATTCTCTGACTCCCCAACTCATGCATCTCTTTGGTGTTTTGCTGTCTTCCCTCCCAGGGAGCGGGGCTTCTCACTAGCTGTTGTGCTGCTCAGCGAGGGTGCCTTGGAGACCCTTACATCCCCACGTGGGCCACCTCCAGCTCCTCCTCATGCGTTATGTCTAGATTTTCATTCAGTGAGCAGCTCTCATTGTTTCCTTTCCTCAGGGGCTACGCCGTGGCCAGCAGCAGTGACGACCGCATGAATGAGCCTCCCACCTCTCTGGGGCTCGTGCCTCACCAGGTCAGTGGTATGGAAATAAAGCACACTCTGAACCAGACCCCCACGGTGTGGGGGAAGATATTTGGGGTCACTTTAGCAAGCCATCAACCCACCCCACCCAACTCTACACCCCCTGCCCCACAGCAGCTGCCCTGGGACTGCAGGAGAAGCATTCCTTGACCCCTGGAAGGAGCCCCGCTCCGTGGGTGGCAATGGGAGGAGACCCTGAACAAGCAGCACAGCCCCAGTAGCACTGAATGGAGGGGCTTCCTTGTGGAGGAGACAAGAAACAATGAGCTTTGCAATCAGCTTGACAGAGCTTTAAATCCCAGTACCCACCTCGTCTGGTACCAGCAGAGATGAGAGCTGATGGAGAGGAAGGCTGGGCTGCGGTGCTGGTGCGGCTTGGCCCGTGTGGCGATACCTGCTGTTCTCACCGGCTCCCTAATGCCAGAGGGGCTGTTAGGGACACACATGGGAAGTCATTAGGAACATACAGTATTCCCAGAAAGTGGGGTGTTCACCCACAAAAAGAGCCTTAACATCATAAGGCAGGTCCGTCCCATGGAGAGTGAAAGGCAACAGGAGTGGGATGGAAATTCTGCTTTCACCTTGCCTTGCCTCTGGAGGAGTTTTGTTAGCCGTGTTTTTGGAGGAAGGAAGAGTTGTTCTAGTCTGGCTTTGGGGGGAATGTTTTTCTGGGCTCTGGGTGTGTTTTGCTGTCTCAGGAAGATGGTCTCCACCAGTGAAAGAGTGAGAACATTCCACAGCCCTGCTGGGGATTTTTGAGGACACTCATGGTGAGGACAGAGGGCGCTCATTCCTGTTTGTCCCTCTCTGCCACCCCATCCCGCCGCCTGTCACCTGGGTTAGGCCTGTCAACATACGGGTCAGCATGAGAACCAGAGGGGCATCGATGTGGCCACAGCCCAGAGAGTCCATGGCTGCCCACAAGCCAGACCTAGACTCGGCGTCCTGATCGGAACTCGTTTTTGCACTTGGTTACCACCCTAGACCTGGGGCTGGGTATCCCCCCCGCCCCCCACCCCTGGAGCTGCTCCTCCCCTGTCAGAAAAGCAGGTGTCCAAGATTCTGTCTGGACCAAGACTTTGTGAGACCGAAAACACAGTGCACCTGTGACTTGCATCCTGCCTCCGCCCAGGTGGCCTCCAGTTGCTAAGACATGTTCATCTTTGCTACAGAAACATTCCCATGGGACCCAGCAGCCGCTGTCCTGTGCATCCATCAGGAGGACCCTCCCTCCATGGCTGACCTCAGCTGTCCCCTTCTCTTATTTCACTCGAGTCCCTCCCTCGTCCCTTTTTTCACACATCCTCCTTCCCTTTCTCCTGACCTGAAATGTGCTCTCATCTCCTTTACAGATTTTATTCTGAGAAGGGCCTTAATTAAATTTTCAGTCATGCCCCTGCACTGGTTTCCTTTTTTAAGTCCTTTATGTTAAATTACTGCTATTGTAGTTCTCTCAGTGCTGGGGCCAGAGGGCAAAACAGCCTCTTTATAGAAGGGGCCAGTGTCAAAATGCATGTGCCCGTGTTTTTAAAGTGCCATAGCAACTAATCCCTCCTGGGGCTGTTCACCCCCAGTGAGCCCTGCAATTGTTTGTCGTTCACCGGCTCTTCTACTTCTTCTTCCTCGTTTTCAAATGTCTGAAGGATTATTTTGGTTGTTGGCCATCTCTTCATCTGGCCTTTTCAAAGGCCGAAGAATAATGCAGCCATATATGGGAAAAGCCCACTGCGTGTGTGTGATTACTTGCTTACATTATTTCAAGTTTCAAGCCTTTATTTTTAGCTACTTTCTAAAAAAGAAAGTGGAGAAAGAACTTTAAAATTAATCAGGGTTGTGTGGTCCCCATTTAGAGGCTTTAAATTTCTTCTCTCTTTTTAAAGTGGAGGGAGTCCTTTTATGCAACCGTGTTTTGATTAGGAGAGTGTAGTTTCCACAAAAACACTGAGATGTGTTGCAATGGCCTGCTGCAGCCTCGGCAGCTCCCTCCCCCTGCCCTGGCTCTGAAGGGGGATGATTTCCTGTTGGAGAGGAACTTGGTAAACCCCTTTGTGTGATTTGTCTGCAAAGAAGTTTCCCTGGGCCTTTTTTTTTTGGTGGGGGGGTTTACTGGGTTCCCCAAGGAAGAATGTTCATTACTTGACCCTGTGGAGTGTGAGGCAGTAGAAAAGTGATAGTCCTTGAGCCAGGACTGCCAGACTCCCTCACCTACACCTCACTGTGTAATATGCAGAAAGTCGCTTCACTCCACCAGTGCTCCCTGTGTCTCTGCTGTCCTCTGAGGTAGGCCTGGGTACCCTGGTTACTTACAGGCTGACAGAAAAAGGACTTGATTAGGCCCTGAGATTCAGTGTGCTCAGCCTGGAGTATACTCTTATCGAATTTAGAAACTGTGAAAAAACCATTTGAAGGTGAGAGAATAGGCTCATGGGTTGTTGGTGGAGTTGTTTTTTGGTCCCTGGCCTGTTGTACTTGGATGGGATGCTAAAGTGAGCAGCCATGAGGATAGCCGCTTTCTGTCTATGAAGACAGTGAATTTTAAATAATATCAATTGATGTCTCAAACACATCTAGATCATCACATAAATCCATACAACTTGAATGATTGCAAAGTGAAGACCCATGTGCCAGCACACAGGTAAAGGTCAGACGTAGCCTCGGAAGCCCCCTGCCCACCCCCTCCAATGGCCACGGCCACCTCCTGCACGAAAATGAGCAGCTCTTGTGTCTCATCCTCCTGGGACATGTCTTATTAGGACCTTTCCATCGATGGAATCGCAGAGCACATGCTCTTTGGAGCCTGGCTTCTTTTATACAGAGGACTTTTTCATTGTAGAACTTAGCCTCATATTGTTCCCTCTGCTTCCCATCAAGTGGGATCTTTTATTTGTGAAGGGGAGGGGTGTTGGGGGAAAAGGCTGCCTCTTCCTGGCTCCTGGCATGGTAGGTAACTGAGTTCTGCAAGGCCAGATACTTTTCCTGGTCCTTCAGTGGGAAGTACCGTTCAGGCATTCCAGAATGTGCTGAACTCTACTGACATCTCCAGGAAGTTAGCTTGTAGGCTGGTGAGAGATGCTAAAGGTAAAAAAGTTGCTGGTCATTGGTCAGGGCCTCCCTCCAGAGAAAGCCAAGGCGCCATACCCCCCAAACACCATGGCCCTGGGGCCAGCAGTCCTGCCTTCACCCCTGGCACACTGGGAAGTTCACAGTTTTTGTCTTTGGATGAAAATACTCTTGGCATTCATCTTTGGATGAATATACTGTTGCTGCTGAATAAAGGCCTTGAGTGTGTGTGCCCTCCTAGGAGTTTGGACTTGCCAACCCTGGGTTCTCTCAGACTTTTGAATTTGTTCTTTTAGTCACTTTCAGAAAAGTAGAACAAAGCCTGAAGTAGGGCAGGACCCTGGGAGGGACCTGGCCTGGGAAATTTCTAAGTGAGACAAATGCTGAGATAGAGCTGCGGGCTCTAGCCATGCCTTGGACTGGCATTTTTTTGGCCTGTCAGCACAGGCTGCAGCCCCCAAATCCTCAGGCCGTTAGCTTTTAGAAAAAGCTCTTCCCTGTGCTCAGGAAGGCCTATCATTGTGTCTCCAGGGGTATGCATCTCCGCCTGCGGCCTGCCGAGCAAGGAGGCTGGGATGATAAGCGGTACAAACACCCTGCTGAGATTGAGCCTGAGAAACAAGCTCCTTCCCCTCTGGTCCTCTACTCTGCAGGTGGCTGACAGTGGAAGTGGCAGGGCGAGGGTCAGCTGAAATGTTTGCTGGTTCATGCACTGGCTGTCTGGTTTGTGATCCATTCACCCTCCCTCCTCACTTCCCCGCAAGCACCTAATTCAGGTCGGCAGCTGATCCGCCAAGCACTGACTCTGCATCAGTCACCGTTAGGCACAGTGATGTCAGGTAACCAGCACAAGATCACTGAAGATTTACTTTCATTTGCTTTTGGAGTCTCTAAGATGACAGACATGCCCAAGCCATCTGGATATGCTGGAGTCTTGCTCCAGTGGGGAGGCCCCTGAACAGAAGGAGGATCTGGGTACAAGATCTCACAATGGCGGGGCTTCCAGCATGAAGTCCCAAAAGAGAGGATCCCTCTCACAGAGGAACAGATACGTTCCAGAGTGTTCAGGGTTCTAGAAGGTGCAGGTGGTATCTTGTCTCAGGAGGACTTGTCAGTGTAGAATGGTGCTTGTGCCCCCGAGTGCTGCTTACCAGAGGACTGTCCTGTTGGAAAGGCCTCCCAGAGGCTTTGGGGTCAATCTGATTGGAATCCCAATTTTTCTGTTCACCCACTCAGTCATTTCCTCATTTTGCAAAAGAATTTGAGGCTGCTCTTGCCACCTGTCACTGTGTGACCTTGGGCAGCTTATTGAGCCCCTCTGCACCTCATATTTTTTGTCATAAAATGGGTGAGGTAACTTAAGGAACTGCTGTAATTTCTGTATGGATTAAATTCCATTTAATTATACTAGTACAGTTCTAGGCCCATAAAGAACAAACCCTTGTGAATATTGGTTCATCTTTCTCTCACTTTTAATTAAAATGATAAAACAGGAGCTTATCTTCTCTCCTAAAAAAAAAGCTACAAAAACTGATAAACTCTGAAAGCAGTGAGGGAGCAAGTGGGGAAGGCTTGGGAGGATTCGCTCCCCATGCAGTATTTTTCTGAGGATGCTTCTGGCTCATTTCCAGGTTGGCTCTTCTGCCCCGGGTCACCCCAGTTCACTGATGAGAAGAGGGGTGGTGGTGGTGGCTGAGATGCGGTCTGAAGCAAAGGCCCTCGGGGGTGTCTGGGGTTCTGCAATGGCTACACTCTCTGTGTTGGCACTGAAGTTGATTAGACTCTGTTCAGCATCCAAGTATGATCTGGAGTTTGGCACGTGTGTTGATTTATGCAAACCCCGAGTTCTAGAAATGTGAGGCCTGCTGGGAGCCGGTGTGGAACTACAGCGGCAGGTTTCAGCTGTGGCTGCACCTCAGCTTCTCAGGACA